TTCTTTTTTAGTCTTTATAATATAATTATAAATAGAATAATAAATACTGATTTTAATAAATACAAATATCCTCTTAAAAATCTTAAAGAAAAGGTAATTCCAGAATAATCTAGAATAATAAATAAGAGAAAACCTTCTCTATATAATAATACTATAAAAAGAAGAAAAGTGTAATAAGTATAAGAAGATATATAAATACATATTAATAAATAATAGAATATTTAGATCTAAAATGAATTATAAGCTTAAATCTATTTTTTATAAATGTTATAATAATAATAATTATAGGTTATTAAATTAATACAAAAAGTATAAGTATTTTTATTTTTAAAATAAAGAATATAAATAGTTATAGAAATTCCAAGAATCAGATTTATTCCTATAACTACTTTAATCTAAAATACTCTAAATAAAAGTTATAAGAAATAATTAAAAAAAATCTTTAATAATTAGATTGTTTAGTATATAGTTGTACTATATATTGCTTTTATATATTCTAAAAACTATTTAGTTAATAATTTTAATTCAATACTTGAAGAATTAATAAAGCTTGAAGATATTATATAAAAAAATATTTAAGTATAAATAAAAATAATCAAATCTAAATTGTAGAGTTTAAAAAATAATAATATCTTTGAGATTATAAATGAAACTGTATTTACAGGTTGAAAGTTATTAAAAAGTAAATACATTCTGAAAAATAAACTAAATTAATTTGGTAGATTAGTTAAAAGAAAAACAAGATTAGTAATTAAAGAGTATTTTTAAAGATATAGAATAAACTTTTAAAAAACCTTTGTTGATATAGTAAAATATTTAATATTGTATATTTTGCTAGTTAAAGCTATTATAGAAGATTTGGAGATTGATAATATAAATATTGATATTGCTTTTTTGAATAGTGAGCTAATAAATACAGAAATCCTTATAAAAATACTAAATCTTTTTAAAAAAATCTTTTCTAAGATTAAATTTAAAAACAAATTATATCTTAAATTGAAAAAGTCATTTTATAGATTAAAACAAATATTAAAAGTTTGGTGGATTATTGTTTGAATATTCTTTAAAGAGATTGAATTTGAGGAATTTATAGTAAATTCAAATTTCTTTATAGAAAAAGGAGTATATATTCTATTATATATAGATAATCTATTAATAATAGAAAACTATATTAATGTGAATTTAATGAAAAAAACAATTTCAAATAAATGGAAATACAAAGATTTAAGTGAAACTAGTATATTCCTAAGTATTCAGATAGAGTATAATCAATAAAATCAATTATTTAAGATATACTAGTTGAATTATATAAAAAAGATTTTATATAAATTTGGAATTAATCTTTTTAATATTAAAAATTTGTTTTTTTCTTTAAATACAATAATTTGAGATATAGAGAAAGAAAAGCTATTATATAAAGATAATAAGACTTTTTATCTACAAATTGTTGGTAGTATTATTTACTCCTTTAATTATATATAATCAAATATAGTATATACTATAGGTCAACTTGTTTGTATTATATATACATTAGGGGAAAGTTATTTAGTATTTATAAAATACTTGCTTCAATATCTTACTAGTATATATTCAGTTAGTATAATTTATTCAAATCGATTTAATATACTTTTATATAAATATTAAGTTTATATAAATTCAATATAGAAATTTTCAATTAATAGAAAATCTGTTTAAGGAGTAGTTTTTATTAAATATAGTAATATTATAGTATAGTTTTCAATAAAATAGAAATCAATATTTTTTTATATAATAAAAACTGAGATTATAATAATAAATAAGAATGTAAAAAAATTAGTTTAAATAGAAAAGCTAATAAAAGACTTAAATAAAAGCTTTAAGAAAAAGCTTTTTATTTTAATATTATATTATAATAATATAAATAGAATTGATTGAATATAAAAAAACAAGTTTTATAATAAAACAAAGTATATTGATATTTAATAATATTATATTCGAAAAAATATAATCGATATAAAAAGACTATATATTATATGGATTCCAGGAACTAAGCAGATTACTAATATCCTCATAAAACAACTCATATACCCTGGCTTTATAACTTATAGAAAAGGTTTAGAATTGAATCTGAAATACTAAATATATATATATCAAAGAGAGTCAATAAATACTAATATTATATTTAATCAAATTAACCATTTTAATCGATTTGATTAATTTGGTTGATTTAAATTAACCAAATTAACTAAATTAACCAAATTGATAATTTCACCTATTTCAACAATTTCATTAGATTCATTAGATTCACTATATTCATTAGATCTATCGAATTTATCAAAAACTATCCCAATTGACCGAATTGGTCAATTTATTATAAATTAACCAAATTAATTAAATTAACTAAATTAACCATTTTGAGAAAACTATATAAAATAATAAATAAGCTGGAGATCTGTTTATATAAGATTGAATTTGAATTGTTTATTATATTAAAAAGATGACTCTACAATTTGAAAATAACAAATCTGAAGCAATCCATTAATATATATATAAAAAGGATTTTACAAAAACAGATCGAATTCGTATTACTATATCTCCTTACAATGAACTAGATTTCACCTAATATAAACAAGGAGAATAGAATTCAAATAAAAGAGTACTCTTATACTACAATATAATATTAGATTATAGAGTTATCAAACTCTACTAGAAATATAGAAATTATAAATAATACTAAAGTATTAATACTGTTATAAAAGTTAATAAAACTTTTCACAAATATATATATATATAGAGTTTATATAATTTAGATAATAGATTCCTATTATAGAAAGGATATTGGAAATCATATGTGTAGCATATATGTAGCATATGCATATCACTATAAAACTCCTTTCCTAGACTTCCCGGATATATATATATTTAATATATCACTTACTATATACAACTTGCTATCTACTTCTGACAATATTAATATAATTAGAAATACTTTATTATCTATAATTATTTTCAAGGTTTAAAATACAAATTCTATATAAATTCTAAAGGATATATTTTAAAATTGATAATTCTTTATTAATATAAATAAATAATATTCGGGGTTTTTACCGTATATCCTAATCATATCGCGGATATCATTACGTAACAGAAGAATCACGACTTCAAAAAGTATTCAATTCCAATCATTATCGAGCAAATATGAATTTATGAAACTGTTTCAGTCTTTATTATTCGGTATTATATTATTATCGATTCGAGGAAGCAATCTGAAGAGCTTATTGAACATGATTTTGTTGGTTTTATAATTGGAAATTCAACAATAAATAGACCTTTAAACTTGGAGGATCTGAATCTCGGTATACTCAATTTCTTAACTAGCTTCCAAAACATGATTTTATGGTCTTTCAATCTTTTTGTCAAAAGCAATCAAAAGAAAATTCTAATTTTATTAATATAGCTTCAAAATAGATAAACTCTTTATTAAATAAAATATATCAATTAAACAAATTGATATTCAAAGCTTGAAATGATTTAGAGTTATATCAATAAATTAAAAGATAATTTAAAATAATTTAATATTTGAAGGGTTGCTATAACTAGTTTTTAAAAAAAACCTTTCAGTTTTCAGATTTTCGTTCTCAAATTCTAATCTCAATTAATATCATTCAAAATGAAATTAAAATTAGTTAAATAATAATATTAATCATTTTTTATTATATAATATTATAATTATTTAAATCAAAACTAAATTAATAAAGTTATTATAAATTAAAATATCGAAATATAATATTTAGATGTTTTTTATGAGGTATAAAAAAATCACATTTTGGAAGCTAGTTATGAAACTGGGTATAAGTATATAAGATATTTGAATTTTATTGTTTAGAGAGTGGCTTTATATTTGAGGATTTGAAAAGTAAGGGATGAATAAAAGGGGGCGCCGCAGAATTACAAATTTGTATTTCAAGAGATGGGATTGGAGCTCAAGCCGAGCTTGATATAGGAGTTTTAGGGTTTGGTGTTGCAGCGATTAAAAAGGTAGTTAAGGCATATAGGGCTGCTAGGATAAGTATCTGAGAGGATTGAGAGATAATATTGGCGTTGATGAACTGCAGGAACAAAGGCCAAATAAAGAGTACATGCAGAACAGGTATGTCTTCACCTAATCATAATCGCTTCGATCGCCATCTATTGGGGCACATCTTCCTTTGCAGAGTGGCTATGGTATCTTTTCATCAAGCTAACGCCAACCCCAATATAGCATAGTTCCCTACTTTTAAGTCTTTTTCCCTTTTACCACGGAGCGCTTTGTGTGCCTTCTCTTTTTCGAGGGGAAAACTACACCTGTAATGTCCTGGGAGACGGCGGTGGCAGTAGCGACTGCAGAGAAATGAATACTAAGCTGTGTAAAAATGGGTTATTTTAAGTTGAAAATGTGAATTATGCCAATGACATTGTTACTGATTTAGTTCTTTTGTTTAGTACGATGCGATGCGTTGGTGAGATTGAGACTGAGACCTTGAGAATCCACCAGATTAGATACTTAACTTTTCTGCCTAACCACTGAGTTAATTAGAATATCCAGAAGGAGTAACCCAGCATAGAACTTTGTCTGGGACAACCTTCCTATAGTAGAAATAAAATTATATTCTTACGACTTTCCCTTATAAATAATAGGCTATAACTTAGTTACTATAGGAACCTTTCCCTACCTCTTGAGATACGTATCAATCTGGTGTTCTGTACCTCGGTAAGGTCGGAATGTCCGACCTGATGCTACGCTACAATCTGCGGGGTTACTGCCTTGCATCCACTTTCCACTCGACAGGTAGCGAGAAGATCATACGGCTCAGTTGTATGCAAGAAAACTCTGCCTCAAGGTTAAAAGGGATATTAAAGTTTTCAGTCATCTATTTGTATTTCTGGATTCCTTAGTTTTATTTAAATCCTTGATTTTATCTTCCCAGAATAATAAGTTCACCCGCTCCCCAATTTCAAACAAAAAGTACAATACCAGCACCCTAAACTGCCAACAGGACATCGCTCTTCTCCATGCCACCCGTGAGAAATATCTCAGCCTCCTGTTCTTCGTAGCTCTGTCGAAAGACATCAAACTTGGTATCATGCCAGTCTTTGGCCGAAAAGCTCCTCTCCTTGCTATCAAAAAACCTCACATCATCTGCAGCACGCAGAAAATACGCTATACTGAAGCGATCTGTGTGCTTGAGCTCCTCGGTTGGCACCACACGGTGCACAGCAGATTTGAGCTTCTTTCCGGTGAGAAAACGGAGGGTATCGCCGACGTTGATGATGGCGTAGTCGCCACTCGGCTGCACTGGTTTCCACCCAGTGCCCTCGGACGAGAGAATCTCGAGCCCCCACTGCTTGGCGAGCAATAGCGTTAGTGTGCCGAGGTCTGTGTGTTTGTTGTGTCCTTGACCCAATGTCGTGGGTTCTATCTTCGGGTAGCGAAACAGAGATAATGTGGTTCGAGACGGCTGTGCATCGCTATGGTAAGTTCCAAGTGCAGTATTCTCATCGAGCTTCAACCCAGCAGACAGACTGGCAAGAATTGTTTCTGTGATGGCATGTACCTCGTTCATGAAACGTCTGAAGAGTTTGGAATTCTTCTTCGCGATCTCTGTTCGAAGAAACTGATCCGAATACTTTATTTCCTCTCGTGATATCTGGGCTTCCCTTGAGCATATTTTCAACAACGGGAATACTCTCACCAACCTTTAAAGATTCGTAGTCATCTAGTTTCTGATTCACTCCACTTGATGTTCCAACCGGTTCATATCTGAATCGAAAGTCAGTCCCCGTTTTGCAAAGCTACGCCAGTTAATGCAGACAAAAATATCGTACCCCCAAGTATCGCTTTGATAAGCATCTTGCATCTTCAGTGCCAATGGTTGAGAAAAGTAGGTTTGCATGAGTACCAGAATGCTGCTCCAATCTTTTTTGAATCCTTCGGATTCTTTCAAATCGAGGTAGAAAAAGCCGTGTGCCTCACAGGCCTCGAGAAGTTTTTGTGTCTCTTGCAAATCAGAAGATGCGAGTTTTTGCAAGTTAATCACCAGCAAGTGGGCGGTTTCGTAGGGTAGAGGCATAATTATCAGACTAAGATGAGTGTGGAATGTTGACTACTTGTGGAGCTACTATGGAATTTTGGCTTTAAGACATTTGGTGAAAATGAAGAGGTTAAAATCCAGTTGTCTTTATAACATGTTCTTTACACGAGCGGGTGATGACGACGAAGGTTGGCCGACTGCCCTCATCAATGTATATACTTCTCATCCGATCGTCATACTGGAAGATCTGCTCAAGTAAGCATGCATTACGACCTTCTGCAGAATTAGCGTCGATAAATTCGCAGGTAATCATTTCTGCATTCTCTACTAAGCATCCAGGAACAGTATGTTGAGTGGGTCGAATGTACAATAAGCTGATATCAGTAATGGCCCTCGAAAGTTAAATACGGAAAATGATTTTTTTGATAATTAAAACAATGGATGTATAGTTCTTTTGAGAAACGGACAACATATCAAAATTATATCCAATCCTACAGTGGTTATTTCCACCAGAGGTCACCATGGACCCAAAAGATATCGTAATCTATTTGCCCTCATTTGCATTCGTTTCGTGCCTCTTGCTCTATACTTTTGTTGTCAAGCCACTCTTCCTTGGTCCCCTTGCCAAAATTCCAAATGCTCATTGGACGAGTCCATTCTCATCAGGATGGATTTTGTGGACACGTTTTCAACATCAAGAGCTCAAAGTTCTTCACAAAATGCACCGAAAATATGGCCCAGTTATCAGGCTTGGTCCCAAAGACCTCAGCGTCAGCTGCTTTGAGAATGGTGTGAAGCTGATCTACACCGGCAGTTACGAAAAGCCTTCATACTATGACTTTTTCAAATACCTTGGGTAGGTTAATAATGTTCGTACGTAGGTGTTGATAAGGTAGTATCTCTAATTGAAATGGAATAATAGGAAAGCCAATACATTTTGTAGTCTCACAAAACAAGACCACTCCCTCTACCGCCGAAGACTCTCAAGCGTCTATTCGAAGTCTTCTTTGATGAGTTCCGATCATTTGAAGAATCTAACCCTCGACATCATCAATAATCAACTGAGAAACCTATTGCATCAACGTGCACAAGAAGGCACCCCTGTTGATGCCTTGAAGCTGAGCTACGCCTTGAGTCTTGACGTTGTTAACTCTTTCATCTTTGGACAAGCGAGCAGCACCAAATTTTTGCTGGATCATGCGGGAATTACAGAGTTTCTGGAACAATACGAGCTCCGGTTTTGCGACCAGTCCTTCTGGGAACAGGAGCTTCCTTTTGTCACTCGACTGTTAAAAAGCAGCGGAATATCGATGCTACCAAATTCCTATTTCACGTCGAAAGATTGGTTAGATAACTTCACGCTCGAAATGTGCGACAGAGCGGAGAGTTTTCTGAGTACTACAAATGAACCATGTCCTGCTGACATTCCGGTTGTTTACCAGAAGGTCAAAGAAGCTACGGATAATGATTCGAGTGATATGTCTCCCTCAGATAGACGCCTTTATGTAGGAAGCGAACTGTTTGATCATATATGTGCGTACCTCTAGATTCGTATTCTCGAGTTCCGCTATACTAACTGACGCAATATTAGCCAGTTCTCGAGAAGTACTCGGTCAGTCAAACCATCATCTTCGAAAATAATAGAACGAAAGCTAATTTGACCTAGGTTTTGTTCTTGGATATGCAATTTTCTATATCTCACAGAGCCCACCTACACAAGTACGACTTTTTGCAGAGCTTTCTTCTTTGCCTCCAGAAGTCCGTCGACAGCTTGATGGGTCGACATTATCGAAACAGGGTAATTTTGCTTCTGCCCTCGACCAGCTCCCATATCTCGGTGCTGTCATCAAAGAAGCTCTTCGAATGCGCCCCAATAGCACACCCCTGCCTCGAATCACACCCAGTGATCGGGCCGTCAGTCTAGGGGGTTACGATAGCATTCCACCCAGGACTCGAGTAAACACTTACCAATGGTTCATTCACCGAGACTCGGACAAGTGGACTGACGTAGACAGATGGATGCCAGAACGTTGGCTCCAGGACGATGGCCATCCGATCCAATCAAAAGGAGAAAATGGAGTTCTCTGGCCTTTTGGCAGTGGTTCAAGAGGTTGCGTTGGCAATCATCTCGCAGGCTATAGTATGCAACCCCTTCCGAAGTCAATCTTTCAGAACAACTGTCTCTATTTTGATTGACCCTCAATTCTCAAGAGTTGGATATACTAGTGCTAATATATTTTGTATTACAGTAATGAGGATTGTTCTTGCTGTCATCTTCTCTAATTTTACAACACGAGTCGTTCCGAATGAGGAGTTTGGCATCCATATTCCAGGCTCCCCCGATGACAAGCTGATGGTATCATTGAAAACACTGGTGCCACGCAATCACGCTCAAGTCGCGGTTTAAATATTTCTCTTTAATCGCATTTGGGTGTTTTTTTGTTCTTCTTTTTCCACAAAAAAATTGACGGCAGTTTTAGAAAATGGGAGGGAATCACTTGGAATTGTTCGCCCGGCTGGATAGTTTGTGGTTGAACCAAAAGTCGGAGGCTGAAAATTTGTTATCAAGCCGCAGTAATTGGATATCTGGAAGTTGCTCAATCATTGTACTTAGGCTAGCACCGCATAAAGCTATCACTTTATTTTCTGATGAAAAAAAGTATGGTCAACCATATAGAGAGAAGCCACATAGTCTTACTTTACCTACATTATGAGAGCGCTTGCGTCTCTTTTTACATCCCGACCCCCTTGCACATGCGCACGTGCGCACGTGAGCGAACATGTGGGCTATTTCTATATAGAATTCCCTAGTTCCTCGCTGATGACAGAAAAAATGACACACACAACTTTAGTTCCGCACCAAAATTTTGGTGTAGGTTTAGACTATATGTTTAGCCCCTAGCTAGCTCATAGTTACATGAATAAAAAATTCATTAATGATATGAAATGATATTTCGAGTTAGAGCTTCCAAATAATCTAAATTTCATTTTAATTGAATGATTCAACCAAAAGTTATAAATTATTGAATATTTGCTTCATTTTGAATATAAGCTTAATTTATGCTTAAATCTTGACGTATTGCTCAACTTCAATAAACTATTATTAATTCATTTCTTTATATGAAACTTTGATATCTTCATAAATCGGGATTTCTGATAATTAAATATTATATGTTGCCCTTGAATCTCAATTTTAAGATTTGAGTGTTTTAGAATTGATTGAAATCGATGACGTTTTGATGATTTTATATCTTTGTGAGCGATTGATTATAGTTTACACTTCCGACAGATACACGTTCCTTAGACACAAACAAACACAGATACTTTGAGCATCAATAAGGCCTTATTCTCTTTGATCGTGATTCTCAATACCCGGTTTAACCAATAACACCTCTCCTCGCCACCCGCTAGTAGTCTTCGATGTCTAAGTGTCTCCTACAAATTTACATTTGCGCCATGCTGCAGCAATAGAATCACGACATCCGCCAATCCGTTCATAGCCGCCAACTTCACAGCCGACATATCCTTGTGGTCTAACAAATCCAGCTGAGCCCCCTCGTTAATTAGCAGCTGTACGCAATCATAGCTCCCCATTTCGGCTGCGACATGCAGCGGCGTGCGGCCCTCTTCATCGATAGCCCCCACGGCTGCACCATTGTCAATCAGTATGCGGGCTGTACATTCGTGGTTTTTTCTGACGGTCAAATGTAGTGCTGTGCTGGACTTAGCGAAGAAGAAATCGTTGGCAGTGCTCGAGGGGAAATCAGAGTGCGGGTTTACTTTGGACTCAGTAGCGAATTGAGGCAGCACTGGAGATTGAGAGGTTGGATAGGAGCTATTGATTGTTGGAAAGTCATTCATGGGTTTGTTTTGATTTAGATCCGTTAGGGATGAGATCTGTCGCCGTCGACGAATAAGTATCATACTTAAAATTGCATCTTTCAGAGACCAATAGAAAAATCAATACTCACATCTAATAGTTGATTCATATTGTCCAGCTCAAATTCCTCCAATAATTCTGGGAAGTTGGTGGTAGGGGCATTGGCTATTAGCTTATGGGGGGCTGGATATGTAGTGGCCTTCGGAGAATGTAGCTCGTGATATGTAGATACGCCGCGCTCAGTTCCCGATATGCTTGATGGTATTCCGGAAGCAATCTTGTCATGAATGAGTGATCGATTAATTTCTTCAAGGCGGTTAAGTCTATTTTTGATGTTTTGACCTAAATGATGCTTAGCTACACGACCACTTGTGCTGTGTGTCGGACGTACGATAGTTCTTTTGTGCCGTTCGATTTTGACTTCTTCTTCGCTCCGCAGCCGTCATCTTTCCCGCTTCAGTCGAATCTAATTGGCTTACTTTGTGAAATGAGAACATTGTCAAATCTATTTAAGTAGTCTGCCGGCACACATCTCAATGAACAATTCTCTCTAGTTTAATATATTCATTCAAGTGTGGCCCTCAAAAGAACCTTATGTATCCGCAGTTCCAAACAAGAAGAGGAATGCTGAAAGGCAGTTCAGTGTGATATGAGATTCCGGATAAAGAGCGGATCAGCATCTAACATAAGGTAGACCGTGACCAGCCCTGTCTTTCGAGTGGATAGGAATCCAAAATCATCAAAATCGGCAGCATAATCAATACGATTGTGTCACTACAATAGTAGCAACAATTCTGCTCAAGTACCCACGCTCGTATGCGGTCCAACGGCCAAGGCCGGGGAAGATGAAAAACACGGATAGCTACACTCATTAGCAACAGATTGGTTTATCCGGTTCGCTATTCTTGGCCTAGCAAGGTAATCTAGTTTTCATAGACCACCCATTTGCACGAGTTCAAAGATTTTCATTTGTAATTTAAGCGAACTGGTTCCAGATAATATAGTTTACCAACTTCTAGATTATAACCTTTTAACACAAGTAGAAACTACCTAGTATAATAACTTTATAACTAATCAAGGTATAAGAAGTTAAAAGGAATGTTTAAAAAGAAAGAAATATATATTATATTAGCTTGAATTAATATCAAGTATATTAACTATATTATTCAATTATAATATTATCACCGCGCTGATATTAGATTAGTATTAAAGTTGTACTAACGTAGTTTATTAGTGGCTCGGTTATATGAGTGGATCGAATACTTAAAAATACACTAAAATCAGTCTTTTTTCAATATTCATATTTTAATAACAACTTATTATTATTAGGAGTAAATGATAGTAATAAATTAATTAGTATATAGTAATATAAAGACTTTTTATTATTTCTCTAAATTTATAACAATCTTTCTTTTTATAAATATATATACTTTCCTATTAGTTCAAAATAAATTCAAAATCTTAAATTCATATATTTCTTGAGTTTTTTTAGATTATTATAATAGACTCCTCTTCTTTACATTTTATGTTTCAAAAAATAATTGTTTATCTTTTGATTTGATATATATAATATAAAAATAAAAATTACAAAAAACTTATGTTTATAATATATTCTAAAAGAAAACTTAACATTATTTAAATTATAAATAAACAATAATAATAATCTTACATTTTTATGTATTTTTTTAATTCAATAATAAAGTATTGAATACTCTAAAAAAAGAATTTCTTTCTTAAACATTTTACTTTTTTAAAATTATTTATTTCTTTTTCTTTTTATTACTTTATATTATAGTTATTATATCCCTAGAAGATATAATTAATAATATATTATATTCTATTAGCGGTTTTATTTGTCTTTATTATTTTAAATGTATTCTTTTAAATAATATAATTCAGCTTTATAATTTCCAAAAAATCTTAATTTCAAATATAATTATTATTATATTCAGAAAAAAATTTATAATTCAATATTTCTTTGTTTTATTACTAATATCAATTTAATATATTAAAGTTGTACTTATTAGAAAGAGATTTATAAAATACTCTTTTAGAGAAGTAGATTGAGATTATACTTATATATTATTTTAATTGTTATATTTATATAATAGAAGCTTTTTTTTATAAGGAGAAGAAATAAGGTAATATTCATAAACTATATTAAATAAAAAATATTTTTTAATTATATTCCATATAAATAACGTAAAAAATCATATAAAACATTTTATGAATCTATAGTAAGCTATAATTGATTACTTATTCAGTTAAAATATATTATAATTAATTAATTAATAATTTATTAGAACAATCTTTTTTCTTTAAATATTATTATTTTTAGTTTTATAATAAAAGCTGTTACAACAATAGATTTTAATAAAAAGAATTAATTTTTAGGAGATATATAATATTTTTGAATGATTAAAGCTTTTATTATATTATCAGATAATTCTATGAAATCTTTTAGTAGCCCAAGAATAAACACCTTGTAATCAAATTCTAAAAAGAATATTCAAACTAAATCTATTCTTAAAACTAAATCTGAAGTTCTAAAGGTTTAGTTATATAAATAAAAGTAATTTATTAATTAAATATAATTATCCTACAAAATTTATAAAGATTAATATATAAAAAACTGCTTTTTTTTGCTTTAATTTTAATACAGAATAATAATAATAATAAAATTCTTAAGTGAATTAATAATATTCTCTATTCTTTTTTAGAATTTGATTTTTTTGATAATAATATTATAATTTTATATTTTATAAATGATTATAATTAGGTTTTTGATTTTCTATAATATTCTTTTACTTTTTTTAAAAAAAAACTAAATTTCAATCTAATTATCTGATCTTTATATAACTATGTTTTTGAATTATTTTTAATAAAAAAAATCATCTTATTAAATTTAAATAATATAATAATATTTAATTATTAAGTGATTGATATAATACTTGTTTTTTCTCTTTTTTCTTTTTATAGAAGATTAATAACTTGAATACAATAATAATTATATTTAAAAAAAAATTGATAATTAAATAAACTTATTAATTAGACTTCAAGAAAATCTTTCTAATATTAATTATTTTTTAGAAAAATAATATTTATTTATTATAACTTCAATATTTGCTATTTTTCTATAAATTTTTTAGTTAAAAGTTTAAGAAAGATATAAAAAAAGAAATAAATAAGAATATTTTATATAAAAATAATATATATCTTTTTTTTTGGAATTTTATTTTTCATTAAAATATTAGTTATTTAATATAATATTAATTGTTTATAATTAGTCCTTATTAATAGACTTAATTATTTATATAATAATAACCTTTTCTTTTATGTATAATTTATAATAATATATAAAAATTCTATTTTAATAATAAACCAATAAACCATCTTATAATAATCTAAGAAGAAGATAAAGGCTCTAGGTCTAATTATAGTGGATGCGGCCGCTAGTCTCGCTAGTGGGACTAGTAGGAAGTTGAATTCGTAATAAGTATAATTTTTTCAATTAGATATTAAAAAATCTACTAATAGCAACTTTTTTCATAGTAAAAGTAATATAATAATAGATTAGATTATAGATTTGTAAGTATTACGATGTAGTCTTTACAGCGCTACGCTGTAAAATGTTTTCTATAGAATATCTGAATCTTCAGAAATCAATTTTTACTATCGTGGTATTGAATATAAAGAATCACAGAAGCAGAAAAAGCTGGTTATTCGACGTACGTAGATTAAATTTGTCTGGAACATCTCAACATGTAGTTAGACGGCGCAAAAGTAACCCTAGTTGGTGGGGTGGGTATCGGTTACAGAAGAATCATCCATAAAGACTAGTTCTCCACCTTCCCTTCGATAAGCCACCAATACATGGGGAATGTAACCCCATTCGAATATTCCAAAACTTATTTTACAGTGGGTAGCTGAACCAAAACCTGCCCCATGGATGCTGGTATGGTTCGTTGGTCCGTTGTTTCGTCGTTGGTGTTTGTTAATTAGATTGTTAATTGATTAGGAGTATTGAGGCTGACATTTATACTGGAAAGGACCAACATCTGTGGATGTACCTACTATCTAGAATCGTATGGTAGTTGTAAGCATATTACAATGGCCAAAATGACTTTTCTTCATCTGATCTAGAATTTGTTTCGTCAGCAGAATGTAACACAAAATATGCAGACGTATGGGATGTCATCAACAATGTTTCAATACGAGCAATTTACATGTACTTTGAATCCTGACTATCAAAGTAGCGAGTAATGTAGGGATGTGGTGATGGAGATAAAGGAAGGGGTTCATTATTTTCAGTTCTCCTTATCACCTGCCGAATCGACTATCTATGATATCATCGACCCATAAAATCTTCAGCTTGTAGCCGTTCGTGAGGTGAAGGAGACTAGGGTGGAGCCCTGATATCCATGCCTCGACCCATGCGCCTCCGAGAATACCCACTAGGTATGCAGGTCCATACACGAAGGCACGTACCATAAAGCTCTATAGCATCCTCGCTGACTAGCGTGAATTTGTATGGCTAAAATGACTATGTTGGTGGCAAAGCAAAGGCGCTGCAGAAAACTTTACGACATGTATGTAGTATGGAGCTCCTTCGTTGCAATCCTGATAAGCTCCCTAATACACGACTACAACCTTGTGTTGACAGCAAACAACCTTGTTTATACACAAAAATGGTGTTGATAAACCTGTGTTTTTCTAGAGATAACTGGGAAATAACAATAAACAGTAAGGCAAAAATGATTGGATTCTTGATGACTAACTAAATATCTTTTTCTTTCTTAAAGATATAATCAACGAACAACCATTTCTTCAATTTAAATGAGAACAAATAAAGAAATCAATAATACTTCAATATCCATATTATTCTCAATAAATATTAAATAAAAAATCTGTTTTTCTTCATCTCTCAAAAAACAATTGTAATAAATACTCTACTTCAAATCTATTAAAAACCATTATTCCTTATATCAACTATACATTTACATATATATATTATTTATTTAAGCATTAAAAGCTTATATCCACTATTATTATTAAATCAAAAGAAAGCTTGAAGATAGAAAAGACGGAGGTGAAGGTGTTGCAGGTTGCAGTATAGTGGGCATGCGGGCTAAAAAAAAAAGCTTGTGTTGTTATCATATTACCAGGTATTGAAGTTCCTGGAGCGAAGGAAGGGGTTTCTGGTTTTAATTGGCGTGAAGTCTCTCTTTTCTTATCTGTATATGTACCCTTTTTCCGGCAGGATAAACAGGTTGTCAAGACTATACCATTCGAGGTAACAAATATATCTTCAACAAAAGACACTATGAGAAGAGTGTGTGTAGTCAATATCCATATAGTAACATCAGCAAATAAACAAGCACCCTGGTGCCTGCAAGTTAAATCCGGCTTGACAGCAAGACTCACAAGTCTTGAAGAAATGTACTCCGTATATTTTAACTCCATCAATCATTATCAAATATGATAAGATTTGCCCTGCGATTCAAGTTAAACACTCACGCAAAATTTATTTCGTTGATATCAACAAGATCCAGTATCACACCAACTTATATTAGACGATGGAGATCATGAAGGTGCATAGTGGGACAGCACAGGGAGGGTTAGGGCAGTGTAAGAATCCGTATCTTCTCGCTTTCAAGAAGTCAAGTTGCGATCATATTTCTGATGAGAGGCAATCAGGTCTTGACGTGCGAGATCACCAAAAGCAGAAGTATTATTTTCACTATCTACTCATAATACTATCCATTTGTATATTCGCTATAGTCACAAAAGACATCTAGCTTCTGTACTTCAATACTATATCTCTTCCTAAAGCTTTATCAGATTGAGTATTCAGTTAGATTGATATCACTATCCATAACCCAAAGAACTTCCATTAGGGATCTACAAGTTTTTATATTCCTTATTAAAGTTTGCTTATTAATAAAATTCCTATTCTAGATTATATCATCCTTAGATCTAAGCTTTCATTTTTGTTATAAATCATTTGAATATATATATCTCGAGATGTCATTCAATTAGAATATTCAATTGATAGATTTGAGGTGTATAGTAATGGCTTTAATCAAACTTTCATCAAAGGTATATATGAGTGATTTGCGATATGGTGGTTCTATTATTATTAATTCAGATAATGTTATATAGATAGTTCTCCTTATTATAGTTAGAGCAAGTACTAATATATCTTCTAGGTGGACTAGGAGGTTCAGGTATCAATTTTGCTCGATCACATAGTCGCTATTTGCGGATCATTGTTGACTCCCTTTTGAGTTCGAATGATGCTATAAGCACCAATACTATTAACAAATATTTCGACATCATCTCATCTGATCCACAAGGTGTTAACGTCACAACACCTTCATTCATCTGCTTCCCCAATGCGATCCAGTAGCTAAATTAAGAAATCGTTTCGGACACAAAAGAACTACTAGGCAGCTCTAATACAACATTCCACCTCAAATGGACACAAAAACACGCTCTGACTAACGCTTACTATTCCCGTATAGCCTCTAACAAAAACAAAGAAGATGGACTGGGAGCATATATCAATATGCCAATTGTTGTAATGGATATGAAAGCCATTGTGAACACTTTTTCAAGAACAAAGATAGAGCTGCTAAGTTAATATCTAAAAAACAATTAAGTATCAAAAATGGAATCTATAGAAAGAACATAGTACTAAGGGTTCTCGTACAATACAATGCTGGGCTAGACCTTTACAGTTATGTATCCCAATCTCGTTGGCCGCATGGTACTCGATGATGTGGTGGACGCTGATCACCATAATGCTTGTAATCACTTCTCGAAATCATATGTCTGTTCCATTCCGCTAACCAAAAAAGGTACCTGGAACGGCAATATCAAAGACGCAGACGTCATCATATCCCAATTCTATACCCTCAACTTCAAAGCCGGCCTATAACACTATACCCTATACTCCACCACTAACCCTCAACACATCTACAACCATCTAAACGCTATCCTTGCCTCCATAGTCTCCGCCCCCATCCCCGTACCGATCACATCCACCCACGGCCCTTCCCTCATCATCCACAGCGGCGTGCTCCTCGCTGTCCACGAAGCCCTTTACTCACCCTTCATGCTCTTCCCCCAATTATCCCTCACCCTACACGACATTCTCCAAAGGAACGGCACTAATCCCGCAGACCTCAAAGCGTTCGCCTACTACACACAGCCCCTAGTGCCCGAATGCCAAACCTATGGCCCCTACTCCCCTCAATGTTTCTCGCCGCCCCTCGACTACGCCGCAGAGCTCGTAGCAGCAATATCGTGCTCCGATGGCTTAGCTCCGATGGATATGATGGCTACTGAGTTCGCGGAGTATTGGCGGAGGGTGGGGGGGCAAAGTGTTTATCTGGGAGATCGGTGAGTGGAGAATAGGATGGTGTATGTATTTTGGAGAATGAGGCTGAAGTTTGCAAGTCCTGGTGGATTTGCTACTCGCTTTTGGGGGGTATCAAGGTTTAATGGTTGTACGTAGATATAGTTGGAGGCTTGACCTCGGAACCGATTATGTTTGTATCGAATACATTGGATTCTGTTATAAAGCTTGAGAAATATATGCACGTCTTACTTATACCACTTGATTATTGCTAATTGGGAGTAGTGAACAGAAAATGAACAAACAATTCAACAGCTCGAAACTCTTACAGCAGAATTCAGAAGGCGTTAGTTAATTCTCTCATTAAACCCCATTCCATTGTTCGTGAAGAACTAAAAAGAAAATTAGCACTTATTACTCTCATCGCCTTCTCTCTATAATACTAAAATTGTGCAGCAATATTTCCAAACTAATGTACTCTCAGATATCAGTATAATATAAGTTCAGTGCCCTACTTTTGGGCCACCCCTCTTTTAAGCTACCCTTTTATATCAAAATTAGTCATTTTGATATATAAATATCTTCATCAAAATTGAATATATTTCAATAAAATTTTATATGAATAATCTTTATATAGATATCAATCAGTTTAAAAAGTTTTAGATTTTTTATAATTCTTTTGATTGAAATTCAAAAGATTGAAATATTGATTTTCAAATTTATATAAGAATTACATACAAATTTGAAATTTTATTACAAATACTCATAACTTTTCAGCAAAAATAATTAAAAATAAACTATAAAATTTTATAATGATTTTCAAATATTCGTAATAATAAGATTTAAAAAGAAAATATAAAAAATAAATAGATATCGATTTATAAAGAAATCATTGATTTCTAATCTCTATAAATTTTAAAATCTCAAATAAAATCTTAATAAAGATTAATAAAATTTTGAAACTTAGATTTCTATATTTAGTTATATAAAATATTATAATTAAATTTTATAGTTTATTTTTAATAATTTTTATTGAAAAATTATAAATATTTTTAATAAAATTTCAAATTTTTATATAATTTCTATACAAATTTGAAAATCAATATTTCAATCTTTTATATCTGATTACAAAAAATTACCAAAAATCTGAGAATTTCAGAATTAACTTATATTTATATAAAGAATTTATAGTTTAGATTTCAGCTAATAATATTAATAAATAAAGAAATTAAAAATCGTGATTTTCGTTATTTTTAATATAAAAAAGTGACCCAAAAAAGAGGTGGCCCAAAAGTAGGGCACTGAACTTACTCTGTAAACAAAAAAGCATTTGGATTGCCTGATAATAGTAGTATGATTATAGTAAAGCCTGGAGATGATGTCTTGCTTGAGACTTTAAGATATATAGCGAAGCACATGTAGTAGTTAAGAGAGTAATGTCATGCGGATGGTGTAATGTGTGATTATACTATTTGCTCCTTGTATAGAGTTAATAGTATACTCTGAATTCAGACTTCCATCCCCCTCGCTCAACCCTATCCCCGGCTCCAATTTCTGCGTCATCTGAGTATATATAAATTAAATTGTTTCTCCTCTGATTCTCCCCTTTACCCTTTAACAAGTATAAGAATATTTTATCTTGCAGTACAGTAGTAGTACTTGTATATAATTATAAGACAAAGCAACTTATTGTGGAATAAGTAATCACTCTTAGACAACACTCTTCCATTTGTAATCACTAACAACTAGTTCGACTTCTCTATATTATGTATTTAACCAATTTCACTCTGTATATCCAGCCATTTGTAAGATACATTAATTAATATTTCGCAGTCTCGTATCGGCAGCCCTTAACACCAGCATCATCAACAGCTATTATGCAGATGTAAAATTAACATGAAGCTAAGGTAAGATATTGTTCAAACATATTCGCCGCAATGATGCTCCGCTGTTCTTCTACGATGTAAAATTCGCAAGACGCCTCGAAGTACCTAATACCAGTGTTTCGAAATAACCAGTCCTGCGCCCGAGAGTTGCAACCTAGCTAGAACGTAGAGGTGATCTTCATCCGTTAGTAAAAGAGCGTATTTTTCAGGTATGTATTAAGATCCATATCCCATTGTACAACGCATTCTGTTTTGTTAAATGTCATCAACCGAATTCGCATGATTAAGCAAGTTGAGATCCATTTCAAGCTAATTTCAGCATTGACATCCATATTGGGGTGTAACAAATAGCGACAGCATGACTTCAGAAAGTATGAGGTGCGTACCTCTATCACCTCCTCAAGGAGTGATAGAATAAAAAGGTAGAAGTTTATAGCCTATATAAACACCAAGTGTTCCTACCTGAGAACATTAATCAATTCAATATAAGTTTCATCTTCAACTGAGCGTGTTCAGAATTAGTAAGATATCCCGCCCATGGAGCGAGCTCGACATTTGTATTTAGGCGTGGGCTTTTGATCACCAGTTCCGATGCCAATTCGGGTTTCGAAATCACATCTGCATTCCCTTGTTCATACACAATTACAATCAGCCCTTGGTGGACGCATGAACCACGCCAGGAGCACGCTGAAGCTCCGCTGAAAACACGCCGAAAGCAAGCTGAAATTGCGTTAACAGTAATGTCACATAGTAACCGCGCACAACTATTCGTCAAACATTAAAATTACACCAAAAATAAGTATTTTGCCCTATTTATAATTATAAAAAATAAATGTTTAAAATCATTAAAATCAATTGAAATTTGGAATAAGGTTTTATTTTATAATAAAGAATCCGAAAATAATAAATCTTCTATTTATTAAATTTAATTAATAATAATAAAAAGTTTTCAGTTTTTACTTATCTTATTGATAACTCTCAAGAATCCTAAGATTCTCAAATAATATTAACTTTTTATATAGATTTTATAATTAATAAAAAACCTAAAAATAAATAACTCCATTTTTATCAAATTTCAATTAAAATAAAATAAAATAAAATAAAATCTATTAAAGATATAGAATAACATTAGAAGATATATAAATTAATTATATGAGTTTTATATGATTTTAATATAATTTTAGTTTTCGATGAATAGCTATACCCTAGTACTATATTTATAAAGATTTTATAAGTATATTTTTAATAAAATTATGTTTATAATACAGTATAAATATACATTTTAGGTATTATTAATATAATTTCCGAATATACTTTTAATAAATATTATTTATCTGATAAGTATTCCGTTTATTATTAATTTACAATAAATAAATAGTAACCCTACTCCCTATATTTCGAATACTTTAAAATATATATATATATATAATATAACATATGGAGAACTCGGATATATAAGGAACTCAAATACTTTTTCAATTATTCTATATATAATCTTATTCTATAAATTATACAATCCTTTAATTCCAATTCCGAATTATTTAAACTACTCTTTAGCTTTTTTTAATAATTTCTTCTTCTAATTCTTTAATTAAATATTTATATAATTATTCTTATAGCTTTTTTTTCTTTTGTTTTTTCTTTATTTTATATATTATTTTTAATACTTTTCTAATATTAAAAACAAATTGATTTTGTAAATTGATTCTTTTATTTTTAATTCTTTTTTTTTGGATTTCAATTATTTTTTGAATATTAAAAAACTATTTTTGAAATAAGGCTATCTTAGTATTTTAAGATTTTATAAATTTAATTATTTTTTTAATATATTAATAAGTTGATAATATAAAAGAACTACTATTTATTAAAATTATATTAAAGATTTGATTTACTTATTTTAATTTTATTTTATTTAAAGAAGAATTTCTAAATATAGATAAATCTAGGCTTTAATTAGAGATTCTTATTTATAAAATAAAAGATTATCAAAAGAAATTAAATAATAATAAATAGAGTACTTTTTATAAGATAAAAGGTATTAAATTAGCTTCTTTTTAATTAATTTTAATATTAAAAGAATTTAATACTTTTTTTCTAATATTTTGAAAGAATTCTATTTATTTAGTTTTTTGAATTCGCTTTATATTAGCTTAAGAATATTAATTAATCTTTAAAGTATAATATCGTTTTATTATTTTATATATTATAATATTAAGTAATTAAAATAAATAAAAGTAATAAGAAAATAATATAAATAAATAAATATTCTTCTCTATATAGAAAGTAATAAAGCTATTTATAATATAATTTAAATAATTATTCATAATTAAAAGTTGAAATTAATTATTTAATATTTTCTTGAATTTTAATTCAAAAACTCTTTTTAATTATTCTAATTTATAGCTATTTGAGATTTATTTAATTATATTAATAAAAAACTATTAATTTTGAAATATATTCTTCAGAATTTATATAGAATTTGTATTTTAAATCTTGAAAATAATTATAAATAATAAAGTATTTTTAATTATATTAATATATTCAAATATAATTATTTATTTTTATTTATTAATTATAACTTTCTAATTCAATTTCTAAAAAGAATTAATTATTATATAAATACTCTAAGTATTTTTAATTCTAAATTCAATTTTATTTATATTAGATATATTATTTAATTTATATTTTTGCTTAATAAGATATATACAAAATGTATTAGATCAAATCTGAATATTCTCTAGAATTAATTTTTTAATTTAATTAAATTCTAATTAATATAAATAATATACTTTAAATTCTGGATATCGTTTTTAGAATTTATAAATCTATTTATAACCTATAAATAGAATTTCTGTTAAAATAGGATTTCGAGATAATATAATCTAAATATATTAAAAACAAATTTTGTTGGTTATTTTCTTTATTAATATAGATATAATAAGAAATCTAATAATAATAAATTATAAAATTTATTGTATAAAAGTATTTTCTTTTATATTTAAAAGAATTTGAATTATTTTGTAAATTTAGGAATATATTTTCTTTCTAATCAGTTTATTAGCTAAAATAGATATAAAGATTTCAAAATACTTTATAATCTTTTTAATTGATTTGAATTCTTTTAATTGAAATGAAATTATAGTTTTTTAAAGTTTCTCTTTAATTTAAGCAAATATAAAAAATAATTAAATATATATAATAAAAGTTATTACAATTTCAAGTTGATAATAGACTAAAAGTATTCGAGTTCCTTATATATCCAAGTTCCTCATATGTTATGTTAAGAAAAAAAAAATTAATATTTAAACTAAATATATTAAGGGAATTTATTAATTATATAATATTTAAAATAAGTATTAAGTTAAAAAGAAAATAGTATTATAATAATATCTAATATACTATATTATATAATTAAAGGATTATATAATAAATCTAAAGAATCTATAAAATTAAGGAATTAATATCTAGATCCATAAAATCTAAAGGATTTAATTAATATAAGATTATAAATTCTATAGAATAAAAAGATTTATATAAAGAAATAGATTTTATTATAATATAAAGCTTTATACTCAAAAATAATTATTAGTTTTATTACTATAATTATAAGAATTATAACTAGTTATAATCTTATTGAATTTCTATTTGAAGTTTAGTCTAAACCACTTTGAGAGATCTCTAGCCACTTCCACGTGACCTAGAGGCAGCTCCTGTAATACGACTCTAGTATCTTTAATAGTCTTAACTTTCTTGGAAATAATAATCCAGTTCCTCTTCTCATTAGTTTCTCTCTAGTTCTTTTTCATGCTTCAATTTTAAACTATTCAAACATACATATTGTAAGTGATGAGCACGTGATTTCCATGTGACCTATTAGTAGCTAGTATTTATTGGCTCCTTTCACGTAGTCTAGAATTATCATCTCGTGGTCTTGCCACTTGTATGACCATACGCTACGACGTGTAAGCTCCTATAGCCTTCATTCCCACCGTTCCTTCGGAGACGCTACGCTTTCAGATGTCTTATTTACGGTATATATGAAGGACTATATCACGGGACCGGCCTATATATAGTAGAGCTACTAGGCAGATAATCTCTCGTATATGTACACCTATAACATAATCAATCCAATCAAGGAAATGAGATAAGTAATGAAACTTATAAACTTTTTCAACTTCAGGACTACTATTCATTTTGACGAGTTATATTATTCTAGTATATAGATTCTCTTCTCTAAGAGCTTTGACTTTCAAATTGTTCCTTTTTAGGGTTGTGGCCTAATAGTAAAGAAGAGAGCTTTAGGTTCGTCACATTCATCTATTAAGTTTTGAAACATTGTTCTCAATTATTACAGAAGAAATAGGCCTACATAAACCCAATTAGCTTAAGGCTATAAGTGTCATCACTTTTAGCGTGATATCTGTGACAGTTTGCCTAAGAAGAACTGCGAGAGCAGGGTACAATTTATCCTTAGAATCTGTCACGAGTTCACTAGCGTAGTTAGTCTTGAATGCTTAGTTATCAATACTCTTATATAATGCACTTCCAGGAAGCCGTCCTTCCTCTCCTTATAGAATATCATATATCTAACCATACACCTATCACCTATCCCGTACGCCTTGATATTTCATTTAACTCTTCAATCTATTATATATTTAGAAAACATATCATGTATTCGTGTGTTTACAAATCAACACATAATCGAAATTCTTACCGAGGTTTAAGAATGGATGAGAATAATCACAATGACTATTCATATCAATTTGACATCAAATTTGATGTTTTTTCATGCGATTACTATTCATGTATCTCGGTGATTAGTGATCCGCGAGTTATATTGCATCGTCAGCTCAACCCCACCGTCATCAACCTTTCTATATATCTAGCACTACTTCAGATACAAATTTGAAGTATCCATACTTATCTTCCAAAAGCATTGCCCTAAGCAGCTATTGAATCCCCCTCAAAAACCAACATCGTCTTAAGACGACTTCTCTCAAAATGTCCGCCTCAAAGCTCACAATCCATCAACACACCGGACCCTTCCCCACCCCCTCCTCTCGTCAAAACCCCGCTCTCAGTTTCCTCGAAAACTACGTCAATAAAATAAATTCCGCATCCTACACCGGTACCTATCTTCCTTATTACCATCCACGTAGTATCTTTCACGACACTACTGGGGTTGATTACATCGGCGGCGCCGTTATATGGAAATGGATTCAGGGTTTATTCGGAGGTGACATCTTCTCTAAGATAGATATGGAGAGTAAGGAGTTTTTTGTAATCGGAGGTTTAAATGAAGAAACAACGGGTCCAGCAGGAAAAGGGGAATGGAAAATATATGGAGAGTGGATAGCGCATTGGTGGGTGAAGAGCACAGGGGAGAAAATCAGTGTACCGAGGAGTATGGTGTTTACGTTGGTGAAAGCTGAGAGCGAGGGAACGGGAAAGAATCTGGATGCTAATGGAGAGGTGGTAGAAGAGGTGGGGTTTGAGGGGTTACAGATTGGTGATGTGAGATTATATTACGATCGCAGTTTGTTGAAGGGAGTGTTCAAAATCAGTGAGCAGGAGATAGACAAATTTGGTGCTTGATTTGAGTATTGGGAAGACGAGATTACTGTATCCCCGCAGCCCGTTTATTTCCTCTTCTCAGGGCACGGTATTCGAGGAAGATCAGTATGATGAAAGGCAAATCATAATTTGCAACCTCATATGATGATAAAGAAGGAAAAGAGAAAACTATTCTCATCAAGTGATAGTGAACATGTATACACTCATTCCACTAGGCAAAATCCAATCTTATATTCGAACTTTCAGGCGAAAAAACTTCCTGGACTTCGATGCAATGTGTATGATGGATTTACTCCAACAATTACAGACCCTCTGGTCACCATCACTAAATGTATATGTTCCATTGATGCCAAACTTAACCACGATTGATATCTTCTATCTTCTATTTTTATATATCACCAATTCCCCTCTACACGCCATTAAACCCAAGCTCCTCTTTCCCATACTCTACTAAGCATCTAAAGGCTTCTGTCCATAATGCGCATATCTATCGGAATCAATTAGCATGACTATCCTAGCATAGCCTCTCACAAAGCTTCCAGGGGAAAAAGAGAATGAAATACTAACATTTCCCAATAAGCATGAATTGACGTATCCTTCATCTCCCTCCTGACGTCCACCAAAAATAATTCTAGTTCATCTACACTCCATCCTAATAGCCTTGTGAATATGGCTACACTCAGTCCCATAAGTCCGGATGTGAGATTTTCTTGATTCCACATTCCTGTTTCAATTTATATTAGCACATCTCTCTTTACCCCTTTTATATCTCTTGACATCTCTAATCTTCTTTCAAAAGTCTTTTTTCTCGTTTAGAAAAATCATCACTCACCCAACTCCTTAGCTTTAGCATCCTTTGGCCATTTGTTCCCTGGCCACTTATAAATCGTCTGACTAACCCCCTGAAACCCTCTCTTCTCCAATTTCTCTTTACAAGTAACTGCACTGTCTAGATCTCTCCCTGCTATAATACTTCCTTCTAGCAGTAATTGCGACCATTTAAGAAGCGCTGAATCCGGCTTAAGTGTATCGTCTGCGCAGGAGACGGGGAGTCGGATATCTAGAACTTCAATGTATGCACCTGGTTTCAGGTTACTATTCAAAACATAGTTAGCACAGCGGGAATTTCAGTGAATTTGAGGAAAAGAATAACTAGGAATAGATTGACAACAGACAAAAAGATAAGAGAAAACTCACTTCCAAGCTTGATCGAAGAATCGATCCCAATCCCCAATACTTCCCGTCATCATTCTCGCATAGATAAAATCAAACGCATCACTATCATCAAAAGTCCATTCCTCCTCCAAATCATCTACTTGAAATATTGCATTCGGAGGTGTAAACATTGGTTGAATAGGACTTAAATCAATTCCCAAAACCGTAGCTTGGGGATACTCATCCGCAAAATCCGTTGTCCAAATTCCCGTTCCACAACCAATATCCAAAACCCTCTCAATCTTATCTGCCTCAATTGGGGCTGTGAAAAGTTTACCATCAAATGTAAGACTACATATATGATGTTGTAAATCTAATCTTTCTTGCTCCATATCATCATTAGGATATGCGTATTTTCCATCTTTGTAAGCATGATATGTACGTCCATTCTCTATGCGGTATCTAGTGATACTTGATGCGAGTGAGGTTGTGGAACTTCCGGGTTCGGATCCAAGGGCTGAATCACCATCGTCGATCAAAGCTTCCGGATCGTCGGCTTCTAGCGTTACTGGTAAGGGAGCTGGTGTTGGAGCTTCTGCTGCTGGTGAAGATCCTATGGGCGGAGGCGAAGCCATTGTAGTGTAGAGGATAAATGTATCGTCAGATAAATGACGATTATACGAACCAATAGTTTCATACACAAGAAACAAATCAATTATCGCTCCGAACCATCAGTTTAATTGATTAAAACTTTGATCTCAAACAAACCCTATAGGGTATCAAAAAATTAATTACTGACGTACTGACGTAGTTTGTACGAGGGATGCATAACCAAAGAACAATACAAAGAACACAAAAGGAAGAAAGAGAGCCCCCCGAAAGGAGAATGGCACACGGAACCCTTATAATAGAGAGCTACTCTAATAAAACCTCGGTGCTGATGTACAAACAATTATTAATCGATCAGACATGGTCCTAGACAATCATGATCTCGAATGACTTCAATGCGGAATTTTGACACGTACAGCAAAGAGAACAAGAAAACCATTGCGGATTGCGGTCGGCAAAAAAAAAATTCACAATCTGATATGTTTTCAAGAGAGATCAGTCCTGACTCCTGCCTGCTTGTCCCACATCCAAAAGTCTTTTATATGAAGCAACTTACATATTCCTCTCCACATTCATGATTGGACTTTTCCCTCGGAGTTCCTTCCCATCATGATCCCCCATACAGGGCATTTTACTTTCTACAAGGGAAATCCCTTGTTCCCTCATGTCTATTGGTGATAACAACGGGCTTTACAAAAGCCGAAGTGGGGTGAATCTGCCAACACTATAAGGAAGCATTTATCCATGTACATTTAATATGTCGATCATGAGGTTTCGAGAATTTTCTCAATGTAACGAATTGGAATTGATGAAATGCATATAACACAGTCAAGGGATGAATCATTTGCTTCGACTAAGTAGCAAAGAAAATCAACTTCTGCAAACAGTGTTATCATCTGAGTTTGACGAACAACGTAAGAAACAAATTCTCTGTCAAGATATCAGCAAGACCAACACTAGCAAAAGCATATCCTTAACGTCCCCATCTAATATGCACGTCGTTCATTTGACCGAATCACACCTCTAAAAATGCTTGTTTTTGACTTCCTCAAACACTAGCCATGCTCACCGCACCAGCACAGCTGTAGCCGCCTCAAAAGTTATACATATTCGGACCCCCGCAACTCTGCTTGGAATCACCCTTGCAAGTCATGGTACACGCGTGCGCTCCCGTTAGACTACTTGGTTCAGGGTTTGGCGGCACCTATCCCGCGTAACATCCCCGTCCATATTCTAGTGCAATGTGTTTGTAGGTGATGGGGGTTTGAGCAGTGACTTGAGTTAGGGCAGAAGAAATACAAAGTTTGGGGCTCATTGAATCGTTAGAGAACAATTTAAGGACATTGTGTCCTCCATATGGTCCTCCTGCGGGGACGTTGAAACAAACTATCGACGCACATTGGGATATTGCAGTGTTGGCTACCGAAGGAGTGGTTGATGTTTTGATTGATGGATTGTCATTTGATGAGAGAGGAGCGACTGAAGAAATCGCCGAGGGGTACTGGATCGTGTATCTATTGTAGATGAGGTGGTGGTTGAGGAGGCAAGTGGAACTAGTGCACTGGAGGAAAACGATGATGTCTTTGAAGAGGCAATTACAAAACTTTGGACGGAGGAAGAGACCGAATTGGTTGAGGAAATGGAGCTCATGCTTGAATTAGCGCCTGTGCCGTTGTAACACATCTGTAAACGAGATGACCCACCGCACTGAGTCATGCTATATAGTAAACTCCAACGGTTGTACACATGAAAACCAGACTTACGTATTCCGAGGAATCTCCAGTTCAAGTCAAGGAACAAGTACTCTCCGATGTAGACACAAAGCTGGCTGCGTTGATGACATTATCACAATAGCCTATAGGAAATTTAGCTTGAAAACAAAGCTACTGTGGTGCTTCAAGAATTCGTACATTCCCTCCTATATTCAATGCCAAACCAGACAAATGCGGAACAACCAACATAACAGCTTTCAACAGTCATACTATTATTTGCATGAGTACTGCCAGTTAGAGCTCTTCCGATAGTAGCTTCGGTGTAGCATCCTACGAAGTTGTACGAGCCGACAGATTGGATGATTGCAGGTCAAGTCGAGGCTGGTAAGACCGAGGTGGTCAAAGTAGAAGTAGAATTTGTAGTGGAGGGCGCAGTGGTAGAAGAAATGGCTGTAGAATCTTGGGGCGAAGTGATCGCTGGTGGAGAAGATGGAGAGGACTATGTGGTAGGAGTTGAGGTTGAAATACTACTTCTGTCTGAAGAATTGAGAGCCCGGGAATTGAATCTGGGCTAGGTACATACTGGCTGAGTAGAGCAACCGGAGATTCTAAATATGTGACACTGCCATTTGTATCTGATACATACAAGCGTCCATCTCCAAAAATATGTACATTGAAACTTCTTGAGACTTCCAGTTGGCGGAATTGAGATTGGAATCAAGATCCCATTTACAGGTACAAAACTGTAGGCTTTTAGTCCAGCATTTGGGTCGGAATCAAAAAATACCCTGTACCAGCTTGGCCTTTGTATGTAGTAGTAATCGGTACCCCTAGAGAAGCCTTAGCCTTAGCAATACAATACAAAAGTGAAGTAAGGTCCTGTTTTTTCCCCGCCTATTTTCACAGCTCCCGCAGAATATGATGTGCTCCGCTCGAACAAAATAAACAGCGGCGCGCCTTGATCGTCATGTCCCAGCTTATAACAAACTGTTGGAAAGCCTAGATAGTGTAAGCCATGAATATGTATTATTTGAATCGAAATTCAATAAATCACATATCAACAGGAGTAAAATTATTTTGACTTATTAGTTTTGTTTTCCGTGAAATATATATTGTGTAGTTACTCACTGGATATAACCTCATTCGAGAGGATATGAACCTAGGCTGGCAAATATCAAACCCCGAGCAATGATTTGATTATTTGCAGTATGTTGTCAGATCCTGTACGACTGTCAAGTCCTATATCCATACCTCCAGGCCCCTGGTTGAAGCCACCAAGATTGTTCGCATTCAAAACACCAATTTAATGCCAGCTATTGCATGTCACTGGACGGCGCCCCGGGGGTTTTTTATACTTTACTTTCCCATTTTCCCAATGACAATTGCGATGCGTGAAACACCAGTGCCGTCGAACACTGTAGAGACCAACAGAGCACCCCCACTGGATCCTAGATCTCGACCACCAGCACCCATAGGGACATATTTGTACGGGTCGAAATAATTTGACCAAATAATTTTACCAGCGGGTGAAACAGCGAAATTCAACACAACTTCGTCCAATGTTGAAAGTGGAGTTCTTCCCGATGTCGGTATATCACCATTTGCATGCTCTTTCCTATTCCTTCAAAGTTTAGTATATTCAATTGCATGTACGACAGAATACTCAAAGTGCCCAGTAGCAAGAAACAGTCGATTTCTATCTGTCGCCAAGCCCGTACCCCCTTACCAGATTCCAGCTTTCCCACCCTTTTGAGTATTGAAATCTGTAACGACTAACGGATCACCTGAACTTGACTCCATGGCGAAGATGGACGTAATGTTAATTCCGGAAGGTGTATTAACTTCAACTAATATCCCAGTATAATTAAAAAGCTCACGATACCCTCCAAATGCTCCAATCACCACGCCCTTGATTAGGGTGACAGATCATCTTTGAAGGACAGTACCGCCAGGAAAGTGCCTGACAACATAAGCATGATTAGCCTGAAGATAAAAGACCCTCTTCACCTGGTAATGCCAGCGATGTTCTGAAGATTAATGATATCAACAGCATAAAATTTGTAAAGCCCTATCTATCTGTCAGCGTCAAATCCTCCACACCGTAGGATTTCTTGTCATCAACGACACCCCCAGTAGAAGCTTCATATTGTATGTCTTGGAGAAATTTTATACATGATCTTTTGCTGGATCTGTAATAGGAGTTCCAACAATATCAATAAAACCTGGAACATCGGTACGTCTATTTGTATCGACTGTGGCCCAATCCATCTCCAGCTAAAGTTACAAAGATCACTTTGTAGAAAAGGTGGCTGTATGGATTGTGAGTTCAACAGAGTACCATTCATAGCATCCAAAGTATGCATACGTATGATATTCATCGCTGATGCAATGAAGACTAATTGTGACCCGCCTGGCGGAGTCTATATTAATGGTTTTGCATGCTATTTCTCCTTATTGTTCCCGTAGAAGTTTTTCCATAATATCCAAAATATAGCAGAATCTACTGTCGTAGGGTGCATATTATAGTTATCCAAGTATCCCGATTGCGGCATATCTGTATCTCAAATTGTGTTTGTAGGTGCCAAAGAGTTCACCAATGATGGCACCAAGGCTAACAGGCTAATTTTTAACCACATTTTCATGAAATTTTTGATGCTTGAAGATAAAGATTGCAACATTAAGACAAGATAGAAAGTTTTTTTCAAAGGAAAGTTGGAGGTTTGACGTCAAAACATTTCCCCATTTTTGAAATTGGGAAAGAGCGCAGGAAGGCATCGAAGTGATAACGTGATAACACTTAACATCTGTGATATGAATCAAAAATTCGACGGAATGCTGCATTGCTTTGCAGAGAAAATGTATGGAGGAAACGAAATTCCATACCTCAAATGATCACTGCAGATCCATACGGTTGCAATGATGTGGCACTCTGATATATCGTAAAACTAATTGACATGTAAATGTATACTAAACCCCTACAAAAGATACCGGATGTATACTTCCTGGTAGGATATTTTTATACTCTATGGTTTCACTTGAACACAGTTGCACTTGAACACAGTTGCCCGATCAAGAGAACAATTCAGATCGGCAGTGGGCGTCTCTTCAACAAAGCCTTGACATCCTGATACGCATATTATTCGGAGAAAATCCCTAAAGGAATATATTAGAAAAGACACAAGCACAAGACTGATATTGAGTTCGATAGATGATAATTGCATCCGAAGTTTGTCTGCTCGCGACCAATAACAAATCGTCTTTCAAGTGATACTAAAATGCAACGCGTATGCCATCACGACTATCGAAGCATGAGCAAACGGAAAACCATCCGACTTGGCAATTTTGTGATACATGCGATTGACACAATTAGCTAAATCTTGCGACGTTACCATTGAACACTATAAGATAACATACGACATAAGAGAAAAATGAGGTCTTGAGAAGCGAATAAGAGAAGTAATAACGACACGTACGCCCGATCTTCAGGTTTGTGGAATTCGAACATTCACAATTCAATTTGTTTGTGCATTCATCGAACTCTGCCTCAATCACATGATCAAACCAGCCTGTAACGAATTGGAATTATTAAATTCATCCAGAATTAGTCCGAAGTTCTGACCAAATGATCAGTTTCATCTTAGAAATTGTATCAAAAAGCGTAGATAACCACTTAGAGTCTCACTCAGTGCGCCGTCAATAGATTGCATTGCATTGACAAAAAGCGTTGATCGAACAAGCAACGCGCCTCACAAGCGGTACAATGGTGTAAATGTATCTCATGGACTCGTCGCGAGAAACCAGAGTAACCAGCGGAGAAGCCAAGTTCGTCAAACTATTTTTCAAGAAGCATGAGCTGAAAAATACAGTGCGATGAGACGAATATCCTCATCTCTGGTCCCTGTCAGTATTTTCCAGACTGCTGCAATCAATCTTTATGCTTCTGGGTCAAGAAAGCTTATATTTGGATTTTTAAATTTATTTCTTATCCCGTGTTCACTCGGTTCATTTTTGGCATGGGAGATTTGATGTATATAAAGAATGAACCAAATCAAGAGCAATAATCTGTGAGTAGAAATTAGATTTCATTATAGCTGGCACGGAACGAAAGTATTAAGGGTATGCATGTACATTAATCATTTTTCGTGATATATCTGATATATACAATAAATACAGTGTTATATTACAACTTTCCAAACCATTCACCATTCTTCATTTCTCAATCATAACCATCAACACTAATCAATCAATGCCCCAAACTTTTCTACCAAACATTTCAACCAATCTTAATAAACTGGCATGTCAAAAGCATCCAAATCATAAATCCATGAATCAATACTCTCCTGATCATACTGACACTCCATCGTCGTTCCATTATTCGTCCACAACGGTCTCAGAGGCCATCCACAAATCTGTTGATTCGTGCCCTTATTTGCCCCCTGCAAAACTGTCGCATTCAAAGTGACAGGTGCCACTCCATTCTCTACCCAATCAATGAGTACCTGCAAGTTCGTTTGTGGCCATGGTCCATTAGGTTCCGCTGTATTAACTGCACAATGCGAACCACCTGGTACAAGGAATAATCGATAGAATTCATTAGTTGCAGCGACGGAATCATTGTAAGAAAGACCTGGGTTCATAATTTCTCGCACGGATTCGAAGTAGCGAACGGATGAAGCGGTCGGAATACTGTAATCAGATTCACCGTGGAAATGGATAATTTTTCCACCAGCATTTTTGTAGGGTGTGAGGTCTGGCCAGTTTGTCATGAGAACATCATTGTAACGGTTCCAACCATCTTGAATCCAGTCGCGGAGAGTATCGTATGTTACTCCCTCGAGAGATTGCAGGTTTGAACCATTTTTGAGATCCAGAAGGACTTCAACGAATGAACCACCAAGAGAGGTAATACTCATACCATATTCACCCGTGGTTGCGTTATATGCTGTAGCTGCGTCTGTAAATGTAGAAGATGGAGTGTATGAGAAATAAGCACGTTTGCCGTCAGTGGTGTGAAGACCGTCGAGAATTTTCTGGGCAACGGCCAAACCCTTGGCCGAGATTGAACCATTTTGGGCGGGTGTAGGAGAGGAAAACAGACTTCCTGTCGATGCTGAGCAAGAGTATGGGGTACCCAAAAGTGTTGAAATATTAAAGTTCATTGTGCAAAGATCTGTTCGTGAGACGACTCCATCTATTTTACCATCATATGGATCGCAAGCAATGATTGTCTCGTTCACAATCTTTTGCAATTCACAAGGTGGTGGATAATAGTCCAGGGTCTTCTCCACAATATTTGAATAAAGATGTTGAACCTGCTGAAATGCATATCTGAAAGCCGGTGCACCAATTGTTGCTCCATCAAATTGATCCGCAAATCTTTGAACTTGACTCCACCCTTCTCTACCACCTTCCGAACAACCTTGGTAGTAAGAATATAACGTAGCATTATTAGCTGTCATATTAAAAATCGATGTAGTAAATTCCTTTCCAATGACACTCATTTCATGGATAGCATTATATCCAAACATATAGACATTTTGCCAATTAAGTGTCCCATTCGCAAGGAGGAAATCTGAAATGGCATTGTCCTGGAAAATTCCAAAACCACCATCAGTATCGCCGGCAACTGCGCCATATTCAACCCCTCCAGGTAATGACTGAGCTCCTGAGTTAATGGCATATCCACCACCACCTGTAGAAAGGTAACGATTTTGGAATTTTGCTGGTGCAGGTACCCAGTATGTTAAGAGCACACTGTCATCTAGACCGTTGTGTGAGTACTTGAAAGTAACAGCACAGTAATCGATCACAGCATCTGGATAAAAGATACTCGATGCTGTGGCATTGGTCACCGTTTTGGCTGTGATGGATGTTGGATCAAGAGTTATCCCATCATAGAAATCGACAGCTGGAAAGTTGGCTGCGAGATAAGTTGACGTACAAATATCGGTCAGCGTAAGAGCTTGCGTCAAAGCCGGAAGTGAAGCAATGGCGGTAGCAAGATTTAGAGAACGCATGTTGACCTCCACCGGGTAGTTCGAAGCGTGTGTGGCTAATAAGATGAAAAGAAAGAAGAGATGAGGATGAAACACTGGAGTCATTCTCGGTCCTTATACTCCTGAGTTCTCCTGGTCGAGAGATCGTGACATAATCGAATACCCGCATGTGGTCTAAGTTTTGCTACTGTATAAACTCAGCGAACTGGTTATAGTCTAACCATATTCAGTTCTAGTTCCTCTCTCTCCATACCTAACTAAGGAGGATGAAGAAATTCTGAGTGAGTGTTGTTGCGACACTGAGTTTAGCCCCCTTTTCCTATCAACTCCGGCACCTCAATCCCCACAAGAAACCCTAACACCATCCAAAATCTTGAGTTATATTGTTTTGAGCCCCACAACCAATCACCAACCCCCGCATTCTCCCCAAGTTCAACCGAACATCGTCGCCACAATTATCCCCACGCGTACGTATTGAAGATTAATCGAACCCGATTGATATAGAGCTGGGAATCTGTGCAGTGTGTATGATTGGAAGAATCGGCGAATTGATTCAAGGTGGAGATGAAAAGAGTTGATGGCGACTGCATGTATTTAGCATTATTGATTGGTTTAAAGCGGGACAAGAAACATCGGTGCTTTCGGCAGTTATATTTGACAGCCAAAGTTATCGATCCGGGAGCGGAGATGAGGTGGGGATGTACCTTCTATCTAGGGTGAAGACATCCGTCACATTATGACAGGAAGTAGCAGGTGCGGAGTGTTATTCAAGGCTTTAAAATTGGTTCAGCAACGAAACAATTGATTCTACGCTCTTTGTAAAAAAAACATGGAAGAGAACATGAGTAACAGAGACGTGAAGTACGAAGTAGGTTGAAGGGAGAAGAATCAGTGAGTATCACGTTGGTTTCCAGAAAGCTAGACTAATGTAGGAATAGACTTGCAAAGCTCGATATCATGTGACTAAATGTCAAGTGACATTTCCATCGCATTCTGCCATCACATCTGAACTTCTTTTTCGCTCTAAATCTTCAAGATTTTGTCCTCGTCATCCTAATTATGTCTTGTTTGTTTGAAAGAAGTTTATAACTTTGGCTTTATAGTTTAATCAAATTCTTTGGGTCTGAACCACATCCTCAGACTTTTGTCATGCTCCTTCTCTTCAGTCTTGAATCTGCATTACTACCATCGCCCATGATAGTCAGTCGCTGTAGGCATTACATACAACTCATTGATATCTACTTAAAGTTGAGTGGCGTACATATATCTTTCTCATCGCCAAAGTCATTCCTGCTCGTACCGGTCATCTGTTTATATATTTCTACGATTCAATTTCTCTTATATCATAGGCTATATATACCATTGAAACTCTCTAGAGTATTTATCCACATTTTGAGCCAAAGATGTGGGAGATGTCTAAATTCTGAAAGTATAATTGGGCTCATATACATTTCCACTCACCATTTCTATACGCGTTTAGTCTCTTTCTATACGCGTATTCGAGCGCCAAGATGTTCGCTCCTCCACACGAAATGCGATTACGGTTAGTAACTTGTTCTATTGACCTCATTCTTTCATTCTTTTCATCCAAATTACGATACAGAAATGAATAGGAGAATGACAACATATCATAACCCTCAATTAAACTCTGGCTCGCAATTTCCCATAATGAATATAAATACGATATATGAAGAGCGAAAGACAGAGTTCTTCATCCATCTCATGTGGGATTTTCTGACATATATCAAGATGAGACTTTTACCTTCTTTATGTGCAGTTTTGTATTTTTGGGGTGGGAAAAATGAGGTTGCGGCTACTTTAAGTAGTTCTTTTGCTTGTGAGTTTTTCATATATATATTTCTGTTTCCTATGGTAAGGGAGTTGTGTGGTATAAGGTTTGAAAGCCACGAGGTTTGTGGATTTGAAGACGTTATTGTTATTCAGTTAGTTCAACTCGGATATGAAAAAGTCTTATGGAGGTCAAGTAATTGGTATGTAAATGAACCTTCCCACTGTTAAATTTCATACGAACATGTCTTTATATCAACCTTGAACCTCTCGAGCTCACGTTTAAGATGCCCTTTACCGATCCTCCATCTCTCTAATTTCCACTTCCGCTTCCGCTTCGGCTCCCCCTTCTCCCTCTTTCCCTCACACTTCTAACATATCCCCAGCACCCCCCTCCCAAAACTGGACCCACGCCCACGAACTCGCTCGCAACTTCGTCAACCAATTAAATATCACCGAAAAATCAAACATAGTGACAGGCACCTACCATGCCACTACTCTCGACGGCGAACTCATGAATTGTATCGGCAACATCAGTCCCATCCCGCGTCTCAATTTCACCGGCATTTGTTTGAACGATGGACCCGCAGCTGTTGCACGTCAGGATCTTATCAGTGTTTTTCCTTCCGGTGTCACATTAGCTGCAACATGGGATCGTGATTTGGTTTACCAAAGTTACAAGGCGTTGGGGGAGGAATTTAGAGGGAAGGGTACACATGTTGCTTTAGGGTATGTTCATCTCTCTAATCCAACCTGAAAACATTAATGTCTAGAAAATCGAAACTAAAAAACCCCAAGACCAGTAGCAGGACCCCTCGGCCGTCATCCCTTGGGAGGTCGCAATTGGGAAGGATTTTCCCCTGACCCCTATCTCACCGGCCATCTAATGACCGCTTCCATAGCCGGTATGCAAAGTGTTGGGGTCCAAACTTCCTCGAAACATTTCATCGGCAATGAACAAGAAACCCAACGAACCAACTCTCAACTTCCAGATGGAACAAACATCGATGCGATTTCTTCCAATATCGATGATCGAACCCTTCATGAATTATATCTCTGGCCCTTTGCAGATGCAGTACGTGCTGGTACGACTTCAATAATGTGTAGCTACAACCGCATCAATGGAACTTACGCGTGCGAAAACCCGCATCTACTCAACGATATCCTGAAAGGCGAATTGGGATTCCAAGGCTACGTCGTCTCGGATTTCTTCGCCACACACTCCGGATATCCTGCCGCAAACGCCGGTCTCGATATGGATATGCCTGGCTACGTTTCTCAAGCCGCCATCACCACCGGCGAAACATATTTCGGTCCTCATATCATCTCCGCCATCCAAGCGGGCAATATGACGGAAGATAGATTAGACGATATGGCTACCCGAATCATGACATCTTATTTCCTCCTCAATCAATACAGCGATTATCCCACTCCCGACCCGAGCCAAACATATGTCGAAGCAAATATGTTCGGCTATGATTTCGGCGCCCAGATTCCCGCCCGAGACGTCCGTGCTAATCACTCCTCTCTAATCCGACAAATCGGCTCTGCAGCAACCGTCCTCTTAAAAAATACAAACAACATCCTCCCATTATCCAAACCCCTAAACATAGGCGTCTTTGGTAATTCCGCTCCCGACCCCACCGACGGTCTTACCTGGCCGAAATCAGACCCCAACACCGGCTTCGACATTGGCACCCTCGATATCGGCGGTGGATCCGGCTCCGCTCGTCACACCACCCTCACATCTCCTCTCACTGCTCTCCGAAACCGCGTCGCTACATACGGCGCACGCGTTCAATATCTCACCAACAACGCTGTCATCTCCACCTCCTCTTTCGCCAGCATCTACCCCACCCCAGAAATCTGTCTCGTATTTCTCAAAACCTTCTCCTCAGAAGGCGTAGACCGTGAGTCCTACCCCCTAGACTGGAACTCTATCCTCGTCGTAAACAACGTCGCATCTTTCTGCAACGGCAACACCATCGTCGTCACTCATTCCTCCGGGAAAAACACTCTCCCCTTTGCCCAAAATCCCAATGTCTCCGCCATCCTCCTCGCCCATTACCCCGGCGAAGAATCCGGAAACTCCATCACCGACATCCTCTTCGGCGACGTCAACCCCTCCGGAAAACTCGCTTACACAATCCCCCTCCACGAAACCGACATGCACATCCCCATCGTGAATCTCAGCAACTCCGAAGTCCAAGCCCAGGGCGCAAATGCCTGGCAAAGCAATTTCACCGAAGGCCTAGCAATCGATTACCGAGGTTTCGAAAGGAATAATGTAACCCCCCTCTACGAGTTCGGATACGGATTAAGCTACACGACATTCAATCTCACTTCCTCTCCCTCCATCCAAAACCTCACAAACCAGTCCGTAACCGCGCGTCCCGATCCCCTCGCACCCATCCTCCCAGGCGGAAACGCAGATCAGTATACCCCCCTCTTCACCCTCACCACCAGCGTCAAAAATACAGGAACTCGGACGGGCGCCACCGTTCTCCAACTGTATATTTCTCTCCCGGAAAAAAATACCCCCGAGGGAACACCGAAGAAAGTTCTACGCGGGTTTGAAAAGGTGGAGATGGAGGGGGGAGAGGAGAAAGAAGTGGTGTTTGTGGTGCAGAGGAGAGATGTGAGTTTTTGGGATACGGAATTGGGGGATTGGGTTGTGCCCGAGGGGGAGATAGGGGTTGCGGTCGGATTTAGTGTGCAGGATTTGAGAGCGAGGGTGGGGGTTGTGGTTAGATAGGATGGGGAGGGAGAAATGCGGGGGATGGGGAGGCAGAACATGGAGAAAATAGAGAAAATAGAGAAATGAATGGGGAGGGATAGATGGGTAATGAGGTGCGATTTTGTTCGTCTAGGTTGTAGATTATAGCATTCGATTCTGGTATAGATTACAAATCATAGGACACTTGTTCTGAGACTGACTATATCCTAAAACCTCGAGGGTTGAGAATCGGAATGATCTCATACATACATCTTCCCTCGTAATTTCAACGCCAACAAACAACCCACCCCTAATCATGCCACCAAGAAAACTTCACAAACTCAAACACCCAATGCCAATACTCTTATTCTACAAACCCCCACCCAGAATAAAGATATACATAAAAATGGAACGATCTCAAGAGACGCCAACGTACACGCATCAATACATATAGCAGGTGTCAAAAACAAAACGCCCGGTACCGATACTCTTACTCTACAAATCCCCACCCAGCCCATAAACAACAAGAAAACATAAAGATCCACAAAAACGCAAACGTAAACTCATCAATATACAGAAGAATCATCAATCCATGCAATATAGCAGGTAGGTATCAAAAGAAACGTCAATAACACAATAATCTCCTCCACCTGACAATAACCCAACTCAGCTTGACCAACAAATATGACGTGTTCTCATCCCGAACCCAACCAAACCCCCGCTCCAAAACCCAAAGTCTGTCGTCGTGTAACTGAAACGCGAGAGGATTCCGCGGGATAGTCTTCGACAGCACCAGATGATACCAGAAATCTCTCATCTAATCTTGCAGGATAGACAACGAAATATTTCACTCGTTACCCAAGCGACATCATCCGATTTGCAATGCAATTCAGTGAATTGCGATAATTTCATAACCACCATCAGGAAACGAAGAACCTTCTGCCCGAGCAATTCTTGCATCCCCAATCACGCGATAGTCATCTCCAACTGGTCTCAATATGAAATCTTCAGGATGTTGTACTAAACAATCCATTTCGTCTCCTGAAATCGTACCAGGAGGTCCAAATCCTAGGATCCCATTCTGTATCTCGCAAGCCATTCGGCCAGAAAGATGCATTATGCTCTCGAGGACATCTGAACGAGAATGACCAGCAGCTAGTTGATCCAGGTTCATTTTTCGGGGTCTCCATGAATATTGACCGAGAAAGAAGGATCTGGAGTGTGCTTGACCAATTTGTGTCGTCACACACGACCGCCGCAAAGGCTGCCGTTTTAAAGCTAAACTTTGCGATATCTTCTCTCCGATAAGAATCAAGGGTGGTGTTGACTTGCAATCCTACGAAAAGGCGGAATGCAGCTTCTAAACCCGTGAGACCATTTGGTAATGAATGATCGTTAAAATCATCGTGTGAAAGGCCAGTGACTGATAAAACCATGCCATTCGCCGAAAAGCTAACGAGATTAGAGATATCAAGTCCCTGGCGATCACTCTTCCCCCTGCGATTTTCAAGACCAGGAAGAAAATCTGTAGAGTAAATATTAGGTTGTGTACAATTGAAAGGGGTAAAGTTAATGCACCCAGCAGGCCAGTCAGGCACCCAAGATGGCAGTGAAACGTTCGAGCAGCATAAGCTGCAAGCGATAGCTATAGACGCCAGGCTTTTCTCCTCCTCAATTATGATACGGGCAGCTTCAGAAAAAAACATGTGAAACTGACGTGTTATAGCTTGGGCGAAGAAGCGATCGAGACTTTTCGAAATGAGGAAGTCCAAGAAGTGCATGTGTGTAATCCCTCGGATCAGTGCTTTTGAGAAAGAAAGTTCCAGATAGACTGTCCATTAAACTTGGGACTTTGTCTTTCTTATAATCAGCCAATTGTGGTAGTCGGCGAATGATCAAATTAAGCAATGGAGCAGTATCCGCTGCTGTAGGTATCAAGTCATAAAAAAAGCTGCTCCGAGAATCGGGCTGGTGTTCATCTCGAATATCTAGCATTGTGCAAGCGAAATCACTCACTACATTAAATGGTAAAAGTTCATGCCCACATTGCACCGTAACTATGGAAGGGAGGGCAACTTCTTGTTGTCAGACTCGCTGCCAATATAGTCTGTGCAGCATGTTCTTAAGAGCGGTGACAGATCTTGGCATGAATATCTCATCTTGTAATTTGTTTTCAAAAAATGCGGATAGTTCTCCTTGTGAAAGCTTATATTTGATGGCCGCCGAAAGTGAGGCCCATTTTCGGATCATTCTGAGCGTCAAAGAGCTATCCTCGTACTCCTCCCCCATCCACGAAAGCCCCATTTTGGCTTCTTTGTAGACATCTGCCATCATTTGTAGTTGGACATCTTTCTCGGGATATCGTTCTGGTTGATACAAACAGCATCCACCCAAAAAACAAGTTTATTTCTGTCACATCTCAGATGTCTCAAAGCCGATTCCAGATTGGGAGTGACTTTATGTTTGTAACCATTGACGCAAATGTAGGAAATATTATTCGGTCTCCCCGTGTGTAGGACAATGCAACATAGGCCTCAGTAGAGGTATCAGACGCCAGGGAGATAATACGGCAGGTAGTGTTGATTGTCTCGGAGAAGTCCTCGGATGGTGATATCTCGAGAGCTCGTATTTCGTTCTCTTTCTATGGAGTATAAAATGAACGACATAATTCACCGATGTGGGTACGTTGATGAAGTACGAAGATTCGAATGCTCAATCGCGAATTTTGAGAGTGAATTTCAAAAAGTGAAATGAATTCAGAGTAACAATAACGTTCTAAGCGCCAACATAGGTCCTAGGTAGAAATTCTCACACTTCCCCGTTTGTAATTCTGACAATTTGATAGAGAATATGGCTGAGTGATGAGACATGCTTCGGATATCTGCATGCTGTCCAGGGAAAAACATAAAAGATTCGCTTCACCAGACTACCGGTGCGCAATGACTCCCGTCGGTGTATACTGCAGGTTATCACCTCATATTTTTGCAAGCCTCCATGAAAAATACTTCCCCATTGGTATTTGTAGAGAGTCTCAATAGATCAACCAACCAACCCTCAATATATGAAGGAATCATTCTCATAACATGCCTTGCATAGGTATCAAAATAGACGGCAACTGACATATCTCAGACTCATCATAACATATCAACGATCGGCACTGACCGACAGCATTTTCGAAATCGACGGGTAAGCGCTTCCAAAAGCATAACAGGTCGTTTTCACATCATCGCATTACAAACGCTTTCAAAAAAAACTCACACTTTCCCCCCCCCCAAACCCCCCCGTCCGTGTCGTCGAGGTGTCTTGGTACGCAAAGCCATTTTCCAGGCTTTCTTCTGAGAATAGACTTCCGACTGCCGTTAAATTTTTTGAATCTGCTGCACAAACGGATACTGATACTCTTATAATAGAAATTGGATCTAGCGAGATGAAATATGACGCATGCGAGCTATAAAAGCACTCTCGATATTCAAACGCACCAAGGCAACGATTTTTTCCTTCTGAGGCAATGGCGTAATGTGATAACACTGCTAATTAATCTACATCGCCCTAGGAATTCTCTGGAGATGAAGAGATGTTGATAGTATCCGCTCCAACCAAACCAAACAAAAAGAGAAACAGAGAGATATCGAGATTCGCCTGTGTTCTTGAATCTCAATTGTGTCGGAGTCAAATGTAGCCGTTTCTCCTTAGTGTGTCAATATATTAGTCTCTGCTCTTTGAGAGACTAAATTTCCTTTTGAGATCTGGGATTGATGTTTGCTAGAAGAGGATCAAGAGAAAGAATAAACGTCGAATCCTGTAACGAACCCCGTAGTTGATGCCCCGTTTGACGCCGCCGCATCGTTTGTGCTTGTGCTACATGCCTACCTATCGCTGTCGTTTTTTCTTTTCCCATGTCGCACAGGAGGAAGAATCAAATGCCACTCCGACTCACCCACACACGCCACAAACCCAACGTCAGATCTCTGAAGTGGTTGTGGTTGTGGTTGTGGCTGTGGCTGGGTGGCGCGAGGAAATATCAAGCCACACTTTTCTCTCCAAAGGGGGATTGGGGAAGGGTTACTATAGGTGCGTAGGTAGGTACTGAGGTATTTCAGGTCGGGTTTGTGATGAAATCGTGTAGGAGAGTATAGTATGGGAAAGATTGCTTTGTATTATATTGTATCGTTTTATGGATTTAAAAGCGATCAGACTTGCTACACGGAATCTCACAGCTTACACGGCCCGAGTGACTGAGAGCTATGGAGTTAGCATGTCTGCAACATCGTTTGTATGTCAGAGATTTTCACGGTGATAGAGTTCCATGTAGCATCACACAGACGAGTAGAAAGAATGAATTGTCATTGAAAAGCCTGTAGTTTCATAACCCTTCCGTCCATCCATCGTCAAAGAACCAGCGCTAACGCCAACATATTATCCATTAATCATTATCCAGCATTTGTATTTGCAGTTGTATCAATCGTATCAATCGTACCAATATGTACGCAATGCATCTCCCCACCTACCGCCTCTACAGGTATCGTGTGTTCCTCCCATCATTCCATACCCCCGCCCTTCACCAAACCCTCTACTTGGCATAAGTATTCGCCGGCTGCGTCACGCCACTCGTTCCATAATAATCCGCATTCGAACCCTGATGCGCACCACCATACGTCGGTGGTGCACCGGCAGGCGGCGCATACGATTGTTGGGGCTGTGAATAATTGTAGCTGGCGGGTGCTTGACCGTAGGTGGCAGCGGGTTGAGTGTATGCCATGGGTTGGTTTGTGGAACCGATTTGGTTGCGGCGACGGCGGCGTTTGGATATGCACCTGGGATTGTTAGTTATGGGTTGGATTGTGGAGAGGGAGATGGATGTGAAACTTACATGATGGCAAAAAGTAATACAAGACCGACGAATATCAAAACACCAGCTAGAATCCACCGACCGAAGCGAGTCCAGGCGGAGTTGCATCTGTAATAACTGTAATGCGAGTTAGTTTTTGATTGGCACGATGAATTTACTATCGTTCAATTCAAAGAGAGGAAAGCATAAAGAATGAGAGAATACGAACCCATAACTTCTGCTATAACATGTAGCTCTTGACGTGAGCTCATTCAAATGCAGAGCTTCACGAGTATCAATTGGAAGAACACCCATGTTGTTTATGTTTCTTTAGTTTTCTTTTGCTTCTGGGGTTGTTGAAGTTGTTGAATAGTATCGGATGTAGTTGTGTTGTATTGTGTTGTATCGTGTTGTATCGTGTTGTGTTGTAATATGTTGCAAGTTCTCGAAAGCAAAAAGAATAAAACCAACAATCCAAAATTCAACAAGTCACAAAAGGTGAATGCAAGTCCAACTTTTCCAAGGTTCTTATCCTCCGACACTTGTACCTATCTCCAAACCCAGTACCTTAGTTTCATGGCCCTCTGCGCAAAAAGCATGGCATCCAACCTTTTCTTGGTTAATAGTGTATGATAGTGCGTGATAGTGTATGATCGTGTGTGGATCTACAATCTGCCGAGCCAATTTTCTTCATTCAAACTTCACTCTTCACTCTTCACTCCCCAATTACGAACTCGGAGCTTTGGACGCGGATTTTTACATCAAGATGTGTCTAGGTACGAGGTAGATAATACGGTATGGCATGTACGCGTAGCACACCAAACTTCTCTCCTCAAACGGATGTTCGGATTCATCGCATCTGATGAACTCGGCGCAGCAGCACATATGATTGCATATCCATCGTATCATTGGTGCTTGCATCCATCTCCAGACTTCTTGATTGCGCGTTGGGACCTCCTAGATGCTCCGCCTTTCTTGTACAGCTGAAAACAGCTTGGGATGCAGGATTCGGGACGACCTAAGCCACAATCACATGGGAAAGCACTGACATCATGATTGATTTTCGTACCCCAGGATGAATAGCTAGATTGATGTTGATCACACGTTTATGGGGTCGCGAGAAGTTTAAGCTTAAGCTTTTTGTTTTTGCTTTTGTTTTTGCTTTTACTTTTGCTTCTTTTGCTTTTGCTTTTGGGTCTGGATCGAGCAGGTTCAATAATACGAGAAAGCAAAGCCTCGTCCAGTGAAGAGGGAGATAATGGTAGGTAAGGTTTTCTCTTGCAATTCCAAATTATATAATTGCACGTGATGGATGTAGATACCTGATTAGTAGATTCATCAATCGTAATGTGAGAAAGTATCAACTTGTTAATCTGGAAATACCAATATAAGTGTAACTGCTGCAGAGAAAAGGTCTCTCTATCCATTCATCTCTCTCTTCATCTCTCTCTTCATCTCTCTCTTCATTCACCACCATTCGCCATCCATAATTGACATCACGACACACGTATCACGTTCCTAAATCTATGATGTCACCCCACTCAACTCCCATCTTCGTCGGAAATCACGTGTCAACCCCCCCAAAATCACTTTGTTGCACATCTGATTTTTTGTCCCTTATATTCAACCCATTCTCAACCCATTCTCAACCCATTCTCAAGACACCATCCATCCATCTTCAAATCGTTGAAATTGATGGTATGTTTAAGGAACTGAGAATAAGAATCATTCCCAGATTTTATACCCGGGGTTTCTGAGATGGTGTTCGACAAAACGGTGGTTATTTCTTGTGTGTGGGATTGGTCGAGATCTTTTTGCATCCCGTGACTCGTTTTCGTTTTTCGTTTGGGACGATTCGTGTATGCTGTTTGTTTATATTTGATGGTCTACCTTTGTTGATGAATGAGTTGTTGTGATATTTATACTTCTTCGCTGCGTTCGTACATACTCCAATTGTTTCATGCATGCCAGATAGAGCGTGCAAGCAAGTCTTTCTGCGTCGTCTTTTCTACAAGAGTAGATATCCCATCATTTCACAATGCAATCGTGGACCGTATCTTCACATACTACACAACCGTATTTAGGTCCAACTGCTCTCAATAATACCCCCGTGCTTCATCATTCCACCCGACGACATCTTTCTCGATGACAATGCCGCAACTGCCATCGCAGTGGTCACGGCACAATGTCCAACTTTCACACCATTAGATCCATCCTGATACGTCCAACCCGCCTCCCAACTTCCATCATCACATTGCATGTCTAATAAAGCACAATGATCGTTTTCACATGCTACCCCCATCTGAACGCAAGTGGTTGTCCGCATAGCAAGATCTAAGGCATTACCACCCAAGCCAATACGTTCACGCACTCTTAACTTCAACATCGGACCCAACGTCATGTGCAGATGAGCATCGTTAGATGATCGAAGCAGGCGAGCAATGAAGCCCAGACAAATGTCTGGAGTGGAGTAATTTCGCGTTTCTTGCAAGTGGGAATGCTCTGCGAGCATCGAGTACACAAGTTGGAGAGAGGATCCGTCCGAATTTATGGGCGCGATTATATGTCTTAAAGTAAGCGAGGATGTTTGGTACAGTACAACATCAGCGGAAATCTCACATCACAGATTGGTTGGCTTGGAGATACGATACCTATGCTTATCTATAAAATTCGATTTTATCTTTCCATCTACATTTGTTACAGGCTCTTCAAGTATCCAACAGTTGGATAACGGGGTAAAGATTACGCTAGAGATAAAAAAAAAACGGTTGCTAAACATGGATCTTCCGGCTTTCCATTGGATGAATGATATTTTGATAGGTTCTGGGGTTGAAATCTTACTACCTAGAGGCTAGTTCTTATATGAGATTTTATATGAGATTAGTATGCATACACACAGCGCCGAGTGAAGAATAAATTTTCCATGCGCGAATCTGTATGATGAATCTCAATTCCCTCACACTTTTCATTCGACAAATATTTGACATTCACGATTGAACTTATCTAGTAATCATCTCATCGATCATTATCATGGGCAATATATTCAGTCAATTTTACTTCATTCCCACCGCCGCGCTCACCGAAAAAACCTGTCCCGATCAAACAGATCGAGTGAGTAATCTCCTCCCTATCTATCTCAAATATCCCTAAGACGTGTTCTCTCCTTAGGTTTTCCTCATAACAGGTGGATATACAGGCATCGGGTTCCAACTATGCAACATCCTCTACTCTCGCAACGCCATCATTTGGATAGCAGGCCGCTCGGAATCGAAAGCCCAAAAAGCTATTTCGGACATCAAAGGTGCATCTCCTATGAGTAAAGGCAGTATTGAATTTTTGCAGCTGGATCTTTCGGATCTTTCTACCATCAAACCCGCAGTGAATCATTTTACCGCGCGACAACAGCGGCTTGATGTTCTCGTCAACAATGCCGGTGTAGGTGTTCAATCTCCTCCCATCTATCTATTCATATTTCCTCCCCCGCACAATCTGCAAACTAAGATCAATATGCACAGGTTATGTATTCACCAAGAGAAAACATCGGTGCACAAGGACACGAGTTACACATGGTAACCAATTGTCTAAGCCACTATCTCCTCTACCAACTTCTGCTTCCTCTCCTCACAAAAACCGCGGCTTCTTCCCCCACAGCAAGCGTACGTGTCGCGTGGGCCGCGTCCATCGCCGTACATGTTGATTCGTCACCATCGGGAATGATTATTAACGAAGACGGGTGTCCTAAAGACCAAGGCGTGACAGCTAATTACAGCCAATCGAAAGTTGGAAACGTGTTTCTAGCACGTGAGTGTGCAAAGATGACTCCGCAAACGGGAATCGTACACGCGGTTTTTAATCCGGGGAATCTGAGGACGGAGCTGCAACGGTATTGGACGGGCCCCGCGAGTTGGATCACGGTGAGTAGTGTAGTGTAGTGTAGCGGAGCTCTTTGCGGTGTTTTGAGATATTGCTAGATTTCGATGGATGTATATGTATGTGTACTAATAATTATGCGGTCACAGGATAAATTTATAGTGTACCCATCGATTTACGGGGCATACACTGAGTTATGGGCAGCGCTCTCCCCCGAATTGACACCTGATAAGAGTGGGGCTTATATATATCCCTGGGGGAGATTCGGTAGTCTTCCTGAAGGAATCGAGTCTTCGATTGTGGGAGAATCTGGGATTTCAGCTAGGTTTTTTGGATGGTGTGGAAGAGAGACGGAGGGCTTTTTGTAGATTGATGGATCGAGGTATTGTGGATTGTATGTGTGATGATTTATGAGAGAGACTGGAATTCTTGAGAGTCGTCTCTAATGGCTGGCTGTATCTTTGAGCACGATCGGTAAAAAATGCGGGAGTACTGTTCATAGTCTCCAAGAGTACTATTCTGATCTATAATCCTCGACAAAGCTGCGTTTTGAGATGATGAAAAGCGATATTATTGAAACCGGTTGTGGAAAATTCTTTCACTTTCGCGGACAGAAGTTTTATAATCCTTTAAATATGTTGTGTAATAGGTGATTGATTTTTTTACTTTTAGGTTTCTTCCCAGGAGGGGGTTTCGAGTTATCGAGATGGTTTTCCGGAGACGCATTTCCAGTATTTCGATGTTTGTTCGGAAGTTTAGGTAGAGGCTTGAACCTCGAAGGAATAGAATTTCCAGGATTTTTTGATTCAACACCATCACTTTCTTTGGTGACCGTGTCTTCCATGACAGGCTGTGACTCGGCTTGTGAGGAGGAAGATGCTGCTTCTGAGTAAAGTTTAGTAATGCTGGGACCTTCCAAGGCACTTTCTACCAATTCCAAAAAAGACCCGTAAGAATCTTCATCATGTTGTGTTTCTTCAAGGAGTGAAAACTTTGGTACAATCTCCTTGGATTCCTTTGGCGGTATCTTATCAAGTGGCGATTCGGATCGATTCCAAAACTTGCGTAGGTCCATGGCAAGGTCGAGTTCGTTCTCTTCCGCAAGTCTATCAATGTCCTGTTCCGTGATTAATATATTCTTCAAAGCTTTTGCGAAATCATGAGATAATTCATTGTCTACGACGTATTCACCGTTGGCCAAATCATTAAAAGAAATGTTTTCTAGCTGTCGCAATGCCTTGTTGAAACGTACGAGGGTCTGTCCCGCAACGCCCTCTGCGCCTCTCAATTTGTCTGTGCTCCGCACATCGAATGGAAGCCACTCATCTACTTCGACTTGGCCTGCATTATCTGCACTTCGATTCAGCGTCCCGCCAAACAAAGATAACATAAAAGGTGTTACAGCAGTTGTACGTTGCATAACAAGGTTCTTATTGCTTAAGAGAATAAGCTTATCAAAGGATAACAAACGGGCATTGTTTTTCGATGGCGATGCAATACCTTCAACTTTCAAGTTAGGTCGCTGCAAAGGGTGATTGATAGAAGATGGATGTATATCGATGAGTACTCTCTCGTTGGCGACGATTTGGTATTTGGTTTCGTGATTATTCCATGCACCAATGTGTGGATACAAGCCCTGTACAAGAAGTGCTCTGATCAACTCATCCTGATCTGAGTTCTCATTCAGTATCTCTCCGCCATACTTTGTACCAAGCTCGGCCACGCCTTGAGTCTTTCGGTTTACCACCAAGCCATTTCTTCGAAGCGCTTGTTGGATTAAGCTTATGTTTCGCTTCACTGTGTCATAATTTGCCACACTGAGGAATTTCTGGTGTGCAAATGAGGTCATGACTTCGCGACCATCAACTTCTTCCAAATGTCGAAGCGCACGGAAAGCATTGAGCATGGCGACATGGTCGCTTTTGGATGTTCTTGCAAATCCTCTCATTGCTGCATCAGATTCTTCTTCCATATCTAGTGGACGCACATGAAATGTTATGTTGTCGAAGGCTGCTAAAATTATCATAGAATCTAGACAACGAAAAATGATTCCGAGAATCACCATTTTGCCCAGTGTGGGCCTCAGCGGAAGCGTCCCCATTATTCGGCCCAAAGGAGTAATTTTCTCTGTGGAAGTGAGTGCTCCAAGTGTTTGAAGACCCTCAATGCTTGACTGTATTGCTTTTGGTGATGGAGGCTCTGGAGCGCTCGCTAAGAAATCCTGAATAGATTCATTGTAACCGAGAATGTTCACTGCGAGACAGGTGCTCTGCAAATCGACGCGACTCATCCCTGGGCGAGGAGTTGCTCTCAGGGAATCATAGCGACGTTTTCTACCTCATGTCAATATTAAAAAGTGAAGGGAGTTGAAGGGATGACTCACGAAAAGAGACCATAATAACTGCCGCTTTGAACACGGCCTGCTCGACCTGATCTCTGTTTCACACTTGACTTGCTAATCCATTTACAAGGCAGTGACCAAATTCGTAACAATTGATGAAAATTGTTTTCCTTGTGTTTTCCAGTATCCACAACATATCGAATATCGTCGATAGTGATCGAAGTCTCAGCAACATTAGTGGCTAAAATGATCTTTCGACAACCTGGTGAAACTGGCTCGAAGACTTCCTGATGTTGATCTGCAGTAGAGGAGTGTAATTTCAGAATCTTGAACTTATTCTCATCATTGAAGTTTAAATTGAAGATATCTTGTGCCTTAAGAATTTTTTCAATAATATTAATACCCCGTATGCCTGGCAGGAAAACTAGTATTGCGCCATCGTCTGTAGTACTCGCTATGTGCGCAATCACAATAGCGGCCAGATCAGTGGGTACTTGCCCCTCCAAAGTGTCCATTGCCATCTGCTTCTGTAGACTATCGGGATCGTCGTCATGGCTGTCCCATTTGATCGCTGATGCAGACTGCTCATTCTCAACGTCCACAACTAAATTAGTCTTCTTAATCCTCTCTTCACTCTTTAAATAAGTCTTATTCTTGTTTGAGTCGAGAAGGTCCCATATAGTATGGCCTGTTGGATACGTTTCTCTGAAAGTATCCATTATATTTTCGAGATAGTATTTTTCGACAGGGAAAGCTCGGCCTTCCACATGCATAACTGGGCAGGTAATTTCTCGGGTTCCATCTTTGAAAGCGAAATATCCTTGAAGCATCTCGGCATCGGCGGTGGCACTCATCAAGCACACTTTTGGTGTAGGTTTTCCAGCTTCAATTCTCTCTTTCACAAGCTTCCTAACCATTGTTAAAAGAAAGTCGATATCCAGATCTCTCTCATGGACTTCATCAATAATAAGATGTGATGTGTTGTCAAGTATAGCATCAGGGTGGTGTGTTAGTTGTTGTAAGATGATTCCTGTAGTACAATACGTGATGCTTCCGCAAGAATTTGGGAGTTTAGCATCAAACCCTATCTTGTAACCAACTTGATCACCCAGCTCTTGACCACGTTCCTCAGCAACACGTTCTGCCACTGACTTCGCAGCTATCCTTCGTGGTTGCGTACAGATGACCCTACACTCTCCACCACGTTTTGTACGAATATAGTCATCCAGAATGATTTGAGACAGTTGAGTTGTCTTTCCACTTCCAGTTTTCCCGATTAAAATACAGAATTGATTATTTTCAATGTGATTAAAGACTTCAGACGGGTTCTGGTTTAAAGGGAGTAACTTCGAGTATTTCGGTTTGTGCGAACGCTGAGAAGACCACTTCGATAAACCGCGGGAACGTTGTTCAACTTCCCGGTCATAAGAATACTCCAAGCGAGGTTTATGATAATCCACTAAAGGAGAGACATCATGGTCCTTGCATTCACCAGTAGGTAGTGTTGATAAGTTTAGCTTTGTGGTGGTTTCTACCGTGCGTTGCATCAACTCCAGACTACTCTGGTGTAGTTCAAGCTCCATAGGAAGAGCTTTGCCCACGTATCTTCCACTTCTTGCATTCATCTTTTCTAAATAATTCAAGAGTAGTTGAGGCCTTTGCTTGGCTAGTGTGACTGCAGCAACTAGGAGAGTCAACGTTTCAAGGTCACGAGAACTGCTTCTCTCAATAGCCGGACCAAGTGTTTCAAGAGCAGCAGTATTAGAATCCCTGGTAAAGGCTTGACTTTTGAAAATTTCGCCCTTGCGTTTTATCCGAATTACTAATTTATCGTTGTAGTCATTATAAAAATCCATAAAATTTCTCACGTTTGCAGTGGTTAAAATGATTGGTCCTTCTGATGAATGGGAAGGTATGCTATTTGCAGTATGGTGCTTCTCAGCTTGCACTTTGAACTCTGTGCAAGCCATGGCCTCTGTGAGCGGGAGATCGAAACTGGTTGCGGTTGCATGAATACTATGTTCAGGCAAAGATATAGTGACAGTAAAACTTGTCTTTGGAGTTGTAAGCTTTTTTGATGTAACGGGATTGTCTGAGTGTTCTTTTTTAGAAACTGTCTGGGAAGTGACAGTGTATTCCGGGATATATAGATATTTTGCTGCATAATTAAACACCTCACGCGTGACAAGATGATTCGGTGTGAGCTCCTTCGGGTTTTTTGCCGACTTTGATTTCAGTTCTACTGGTTGTTCTTCTTTAGGCGTTAACGGAGCATCCGGAATTGATTTTGTCTCCGCTGGTACGATTGGAATTACTGATTGAATCTCTGTGGTTTGAACATTATGACTGAGTTTCTCTTCTGTTTTGGCGACCCATTTTGGTGAGATTAGGGGTAACAAGTCATCTAATAGTTCTTTTTCTTCGAGAATGGGGAAAAGTTGCAAAAGTGCAACTCCTCTGGCTAACCACTAGAGCTATTGGTTAGTAAAGCTTTCCAGTTTACATGAAAGACTGAACCTACTTTTTTGGTAGATAACCCAACGATATTTAAAGAAGCTCCATCAGGAAAGTTGAAAGTCAGGCTGCATTTAGTGAGAACTCTCTGACAATCTGTTGCAAAATAACTCTGGCTTTCATATTGAAAAGTACAGTGCGCTTTACTCAATATGGTCTCGTTCAGAGAAGCAAGGAAAGCTACCTTGCCGAATCCAGAATCACCATGCCCAATAACACTTTTGGCTAATTTCGGGCGTTTGATGAAGATTTTTTCTACAGCTTTCCAATCAATTGTATCTCTCGAAAAGACAGCTGTAGGCGGAAGAGGCACTCCAAGTTCGTTTGGTGAATTGGATTCCGGAGGAATATCAAATAACCAATCACTCGTGGGAGACTGAGGTATCTTTTCAAGAACAAGTTCTGATGACAAACACCTTACGAATGAATATTTGTGACTCCGATTCCACTGTCTTGGTACACGAAGTACATTGCGGCGGTGTAGTGGGTTGAGTATCCGGTCATAGAGATTCTATAAACTTCAATATTGAACATCAAATGTGGATTGAAATTGTACAAACCAGTCTTCTAAACATTGATTAGTTCAGCCAAGCGATAACCTCAAAGCTTTAATTCTTGACAGCCAGTCGGTCAAATCTTCAAGAAGTTATGTTTGAACAAACGCAATTTAATTGTATTGATTTTGCTGATGTTCGAGTCGAAGATTTAGGCGGTGTATCTGGCAGAATTCTCAATGAGGTGGTATCATGTGATTCATTACACATGTGACAAAAACCTTTCGTGGTAGGCAGCCGCCTGGAAAGGGGAAGCTTCGTGAGGTGGTATCTGCCTAGTATAGTTCATCTAATATATATATATATACAAATAAAGACCTGTTAGTTCGATTCATTATTATGATGCCATCTTATTTACAGACTCTTTTCATTTCATCTCATGAATCGCATTTCCAAATCTTCCTCCGAATTCGAATATCATGTCTTATCAAATGCAAACACTCCCTGGTATAACCTTGCTTGGTCAGCCCGAGAAAAATGGAGTTTATGATCAACAGGAGATAGTAACACTTATAACACAATACTACGAACTTCTCGCCAAAATGTGCTACTTTCCCGCATCCTACATCAAATATGCACCCCACGATCCTCCCATCGACGTGGATCTCGCAAAGAGCTTTGATCTTGAACCACAAGTCATTGAATTTCTTCAAGCCCTGCCATATGTTGAGGGCTATAGCAATGAAGATGAGTTTATACTTGGTGGAAGTTTTGCCGATATGAGGGATCTGGAAGTATTGATGCAAAGCCGAGATCCGGGATTTGCTTCTCCTAAAGGCGGATTTGATGATGAGAACGGAGAGTATATGAGACCTTGGGAAGTCTGCATCAATGAATGTGGAAATCATGGAACAATGATGTTTCTTGACACGAGGAATGGTGAGAGTTTTGAATTTTCATTATTATATCTTATGTCGTTGGGTCTTTCGTTGTACAAGCTCGCGATCGGCTCCTCAGTGCGAGGACTAGATAGATTGAAACTCTAAACAAATCTTCCAAAGTTCTAGCATGGAGTCCAACCGACTCAAAAGGCTGAAAACGTCGTGAGATCAGGCTCCAGACAGTTGACTACAAGCATTCCACCCAAATACTGTCTTTATATTAACCCCCAGATTTTTCCCCACTTGACCTGAATACCTACATCTGTGTTTCACCTCCACTTTCCTAGATATCAATTTAAATCCGATGACTTATGTTAACTCAAACCAGGCCACATAACAATGGAGGGTCAAGATTCCGGTCATAGCGAAGACCCCGGCGTATATAACTTCCCTGGGGGTCTCCGAAGTCGTAATCGCAATTCCCATGGCCATCTTCCCAGCCGTCACGCTAGAGAACTCTTCGAAGATTTTACCAACAGACTTTTAAAACTTCAATGGATTCCAAGCTCTGAGGACCGTAGAATGTTATCAGAATGGGATGAAGAGGTATTCACCTTTTTTTTCTTATGTCATCTCAACTCCAAATATTGCTCACTCGACATCGATGTCGACCTTTCCACCATTACTTATTTCTTGAAGTTCACCTATATGATTATCTAACAGCATACAGTACGAAGATCTGAGACTCCTCTTCCGAGCCTACGGCTGGCCCCATAATTTCAATGCCACCAGCTTCGACTCTGCCTACTCCCGCTGGCGCGAGTTCCTGACGATAAAGAGCAACGCGTGCGACTCTGCCTCTAATATAATAGATCAAAAGCTCAATCTAGATAGCGCCACAGAGTCTCTAAACTATCATTCTAAGTGTGTGCGTATGGGAGTGTGGGATCGTGACCCTAGCAAACACCCCGAAGAGATTTCAATGTTAGAAACTATCCTCGAGGAGAACAGGGAAATAGTCAATGAGGCAAATGAAATTCTAGAAAAAGCTATTGCTGATCATGGAGACTGGAAAGGAGAAAGAGCAGAAATAATTAAAGCATGGAAGAAACATTTTGAGAAAGATATTGAGAGGCAAGAGGGGAATTTAGAATGGTGGAGAGGAGAGGGGAGGGCGCATTGTAAGGAGGAGGAAATTGAAGAGACTCGGGAGAAGATACGTATTTTGAAGGAGAGGTTGGCGAATGTAGAAGAACAACCAATTTCAGTAGAAGAGGTTATTAGGTCTTCGTAGAAATGCGGGTAGTGGTGTGCAGAAAGTACTTACAGGTTCCTAGACCAAAATACGATAATGAACCAATCAAACCTTGAATTTATCTGATGATCTCATTTAATTTCAAAGATTTAGCATTTTGAAGCTTGAAAGAGCTGCGAGAGTGCACACAATGGGGTCAACATTGCAATCACCCCTCATAAATCTTGCTCGCAAACACACTCTCACAGCTTCTTTTTTTTCAGCCCATGTTTTCATCAAATTCACTATCACCCACTCAACAGAATAGAGCATTCACTATGAAGACAATTGATTAGATCAAACATTAACATTTCAACCATTTAATCCCACGAGAATAAGAGTTTGCAGGCCTCAATCTCAAAAATTCTCCTCACTGAACTTTCGCTAGAATCTTTCAGACCTCACTCAGCGACATTTAATATCTATTGAATACCGCCATGTCTCTAGCCTATTTCATGGACATACCTCCAGATAAACTCAGAACCAGAGTACTACCTCCAATTACCTCCACTTCTCATCAAAATCTAACGTCTTGCTAGCCCGACGGTGTCAAATACTACTATTTCTGCGGTTTGTCCCACACTTCCTTTGGCAACTTCCCGTGATTAGCTATCTAAATTGAGTCTCGAAACTAACCAATCTTAAGAATGAGGTCATTACTACTACCTCAATCCCGACGGCTCACAACTCTACGCCTACGGATCCTGGAAACTGCGAATCAACACCAGCGGAAAAAGATATTGGATACCAGAACAGCGAGAATTCGCCTACGAACCTGATGAGATGAACGCCCGATATATCTTCAATTTCGCAGGCGAAGTAATCTTACGTGAGACACGCGATCGTTTGCGCGATATCGCGGCTCCCAGTCTTGGTACATTAATCATGCGATATCATCGAGGAGCTGCACAAGCGTATTTAGACGATCTGGAAAATAGAATTGATAGTGTCAATGGACGAGAGGATTGGGAACAGATGACAAAGGTCGCGTGGGATGAACTGATTTATCTTGAGTGGAAAACGGGGCTGTGGTATGGAGAGTGGTTGGAGAAGGAACGGAAGAGGCTGCAGGATAAGGGCCAGTATACGGAATATAATGTTTGGGTGGACGATGAATTGAAGCGTGTGACGGAGGATAATGATGTAGAGAATATTAAGGAGGAGAGTATTGGAGAGGCGGTAATCAAGAAGGAAAATGTCAAGACAGAGGATGTCGAGGAAGAGATCATCAAGGAGGAACCTACTGAGGAAGTTTCCATCAAAGACGAGTTCTCTGGCAAGTTATTTATGGAAACAGAATCTTGAGCTGGGGAAGTTTGCTTAAGAACCTTGAAAGCCTTATTTGCTACGAATGTTGAGGTATTTTTTCTCTAATGCCAATGCAAGAATTGATTGTCGCCCAACTAAGATCTCTCGTATGATCAGATGCAGTGAAGATTAAATAAGGCAACGATAACGATGTCCAAAAGTATCCTGCGGTAATTATGAAAATGGTTTGTAAAACGAGAATCTGGCTTTAGAAACAATCTTAGAGCGCTCATATGTTTGTTTATTCAACAAAAGGATAAAATGGGAAACGCATATTAAAAAGAATAGAGAAAGTATGAATGAAAGTGAGGAGACAAAACTTTGGGTTCAAATCCCACATATGATATACTCCCATCCAAAAACCATAACCCCACCACTCTAGCAAAACTCTCCCTTCTCATCTGCAACACAAACCACATCCAGCTCTCTCGCCTTTCTAACTCTTTCCTCGCTCAGTATATATCTCTGCGGCAAATCAATAGTCTCCATCTTATCTCCCATCATCAAGCCTACAGCTGCCTTAGCACTTAATCTCGCCGTCGGCATCCCGTGTCCAGTGAAGCCAGCACAAATATATAAACCCTCACCACCTCCTAATTTCTCGCTCGCATTTCCCACCCAAGGCCAATTATCTCTACTGAATCCCATAATTCCACTCCATTCATAAGTAGCCTCGAGTTCTTCTTCATTATTATGAAGATTGAGTGTACGTGGTAGCTCTCGACGGAGATAATTCGCAGCAGGAGGATCAATAGATGAATCATCGAAGACGCCTAGGCCAGCTTGTGCAGCAAATTGGCGACCCCCGCCAAACATCAATTCTCCTCCTGATTCTTGTTGTGATGATGTGGAGGAAAAAGGTCGTTGAACGAGATAATCATCTCGGTTTATGTTTTGACCGAAATGACCCATAATACTATAAGAGTATTCTAAGGGTTTGCTTGAGGATTCTCTGGCCGGGGACATGGTAGATGGAGGGAGAAGTGAAGACATTTCACCGCGGACAGGAGTAATGAGATCAGAGAAAGAGGGAAGAAGATGTGATGTATAGGCATTCGTTGCCAACAAAACTTTGGGGGCTGAAAGTTGGCCGCGAGAAGTATGAATTATCCATTCTGAAGAAGATTTTTGAAGTCGAGTTACGGGTGTTGAAGTTTGGAGATTGAATTTTGGGGAGCTTGAGGATTTGCTCTTAAAGATTAAATCTTCCAGAACCCATGCAACCAATTTATACGGCCAGAGTGAGGCGGCTTTGGAGGTTGCAATTGCGCCAGCTGCTGTAGGAATTCGAAGGTCCGATAATGAGGGATTAGTAGAATCTCTGGTGATAATGGTAACTAAGTTGCCTAAGGTTGGATCCAGATCCTTGAGGGCTTCCGCAGCTTTGACGGCTACCTCTAACTGATCTTCTGACATATAAGAGTGACAGCTGGATAATGATTTCCAATCACATTGAACATCATTTTGCTCCACGAAAGACTTAATATCCTCATAATTCCTTACTTCAAAAGCCCCGACATCTGGAGGTGAAGCATAAACAAGCGGCTGGCAATGACCTCCATTCTGAGTTTTATAGTCTCGTTAGTGACCAGACACTGATGGATTGTAGACTCGAGACGACGCCTAACTCACTCTGCCAGTGGCTCCCCAACAAGCTTCTCTCGCCTCTAACATTACTACATGGAGATCTTTTCCATTATCATGCTCTCTTAACCAATGTGCAGCTGAAGTCCCTGCAATACCACTCCCAACAATAACAACATCGGCTTTCGTAGGAAGGTTCTCTGTGGTTCTATGACCCAATAAGATCTCCGAAGGCTCACTATGCCAGAAAGCTTTAGTGGGATTAGGAGATGGGAGTCCTGCCTGACCTGGTATTTCATCTGTAGCCGTCATGATTGAATATTACTGATGAATAGAGAGCAATTGAAATGCTGGAGAGCAACAAACTGAGAAGTGAAAAGCTTGTTGAGTTGTACTCCCATGCCGTGCCCCCACCATCACGTACCATCACGTGCATATCACTATCTCCCCCACCTTCTGGATTGGTGGGCCTACAGGTTGTACATGCCCAGTATAGCAAGCCGCGATATGAGGTTAACACCAAGAACCTAGATACTGTGTAGCTGATAATCTATACTAATACGTGTGAGGTTGAGTGAAGGCCAGCTCTCCAAGCTAGTACTAGTGTAACACGTGTTTCCAACAAATATAACCATTTCGTCCGATCGTCCTCGAAGAGATAGCAAAGTCAAAAACTTGCTAAAAACGGAAACTTCCGCATTCTTCTCAAACAATTAGATTAACACAATCTCAATTTCCCCTCTCAAAAAGCTACTGAACCCGAAATATCCGCATTTCGTCAATTTTCTCCCGAGCCGTATCCGGTTCGGTACCATATTTAACCTTTCTCGGTTCATGCTGCTAGCGTGCATATTTACTTATTATTAACATCAAGCCACTATCAAGCCATTATCAGAAAAAGTATCGTAATGAGATTTGGAATCTAGATTTAAGTTTGGATTCCTCGCATGCATGGTTCGTATTCCTTACTTCCCCAGATTTGCAGATAGTGAGTTTGTGGGGTGAGACTCGGGGTAATTGTTGACGGGAACAATTTCGGGATGGGTTGGAGTAAATGAGGGTTACTATGTAGCTATGTAGCTATGCTATGTAACGATTTACATGTGGTAAACAGACAGGAGAAAGCCTAAAGATCTTTTATCAGGATTGACGATTCATTCGCAGTACGATTCAAGCGGAAAAGAGGTACTTGATAATTCTTTCATTCATGGCCTGCCTAAAAAGAATCTCTATAGAGTACACATTGCCCTTTTCCCTTGTGGATCCAAATACCATTCCATTCCGTCCTATCCCATCCCACCCCATGCTATTCCCTTTACCCTCCAAATGTACAGACGCTCATGCCAGGAGCAAGAAAGCAAACCCAGAGAAGCAAAGCCCAATAACTAAAAATATCATATCCTGCCGAAGTATCCAAAGAATGAATGTAATGAATCATTATAATAACCTCCCATTTTTAAAACTCCTGATGAAAATCCCAATGCACGCGTGAGCGATGTCCTATTCATAGTACTGTAACTATTGTTGTTGTTGTTGCTGAGATAGAGATAGTGTGTAGAATGCCGTAAGAATGAATTGACTCCATTTGATGAACGGGCTACTGTCTGCCATCTGCGATATCCTTCCTTCCATGAATAAACCGAAAGAAAATGTTGCTTCATGTATAATGAAATCAAAGCCGAAATTCGAAACGCGACGAAATGAAAATGCGGTGGGTAATCACGGACGAAGAAGATACATCGAATGTATCTCTAACTTCTTACATGATTACATGCGCGCTAACGTATACCCCTGTGATGAAACTACCAATATAAATTTGCTAGTAAACAGAGTAGTAACTATCTTCGACAAGCGGGGCTCCAACTTTCGGCGGGGAAGTTGATTGGGGATGGTGGAGGTGGGGCAGGTGGAGCATATTCGTTCTCGTGGAAGATATATGGAGTCTTGCTCTTGGAGTTCGCTTTGACAGTGTCAAGATAGAAACTGACGTCTTCGCCAAAGGTGGAAGAGGTAAGAAGTGGAGATAGACGGCGACGGGGAACAGGTACGGCCATTGTAGTGGTTGATGATTGAGAAGGCATGTTTAATGATGTGAGTGATTAACTTGTATTAATATTCGAATGAGGAAGTATTGGTGTATGATGAGGTCTGATGTAGAGGACAGTTGTATGTGGAGGTCGGCTTGAATATGGTGAGGAGGTTGAGAGACCTTGGACCTTTATGTATTATTTTCTGGTACTACCCCAGATTGTACGTGGGCTAATAAGTTTGGGGTCAGTTCGGGGTTGGTTGGAGATAACGGGGGAAAACAGCTACTACGCACCAGAAAACGTTGGTTCTGTATGGGGAAATGGGGAAGGTTGATAAGCGCTTACGATCCTTCTGGAAGGATGGATTGATGGTTGGTAAGTTGGTGATACACTTGACGCTTTTCCAACGAACAGATGCTTTGCTCAGGCGCACTCGCAGATATGAGGCAAAAATAGTATAATGATTGTGAGGCTGAGTGAGATGGAAGAGTGAACAACAAATCTTGAAGAGAATGATCTTGTAATGAAGAATTAAACAAAAACTAGACGACAGAGAGGGGGGCAAACGAATGAATTTATCTTGCATCCACTGCTACTATACAGTACCATACGAAACCTTGATAAATTAATCATATCATATCCGGTATGATTCCCCCTTACCAAATACATAGCACAGATGAAAAAAATATGTTGACAAAGAAACAGCTAATTGCAAAGCCGAAAAAGAAAAGGTAAATGATTCAAGACAATCATCCCTTCGGGAAGCCGCCTCACAATTTAGTATTTACCCCAGTCTCATCTAAGAATGTTCGAATTTAGTAAACCAGGGTTATGGATCGTTACGGTCGTGATGCCGTGCGTGCGTTACTGGCTTTGATCAATGACCGGTCTGAGGCATCCTACGATGCGAGGGTTTCTGCAACAAATCCAAGGAAATTGAATAGTATAAACAATAAAGCAAAAACAATTGCAACTATACCAACAAGAAATAGAATAAAAATTGCAAATCTCCGGCGTACTACCATAATATTAGCACACTAGCATTACTAGCATAGCATATAGCCTTTCGAACCCGAGTGCCCCGGACACTCCTAAATTGTTGAATTGTCACTCTATTACAGGGAAGCCCCTAGAAATACTACTGCATTCGTTGTATTTGCATCTCGTTGATTTTCATCCAATCTAAAACACAATCCCCAGTTTCTTGGAATATGTACTATATCGGATTATGTTGTGTTGTTGAGCTGTTTCCAGCCTTACTACTGCAACAGTTTTGTATCCTTGCATATGTGAGAAAGCATGGAATTTCGTGGGGTTGACAGGCATATTTTCTGGATATTGGAGGGGGAACCCTGAGAAGAAGACGGATAATTGTGAGAGTGGAGTTTAGATCGTTTTTTCTTTTTCTAATCCTACTCATTAACGTTGCTTCCGGATCATCGAACCCGTAAGTACCATGTCTTGGCTTAGATTTTATTGCTTTTTACTCTTGATATCATTGTTTTAGAAAATGATGATTGTGTATTCAGATCACGGCCCCCCCGAGATTTAACAAGTTGTCTGTTTTAATATGAAGTCATCATATTCCGAGCAGTTGCAGGTTGGGTTGAATTTCCTCGGTAGGATTACTTTCGTTCACCCCCTTCATCTCGCCAAGTGTTATCGGTAGTAATACAAAAATGCTTCGTACGATTTGTATATCCGTCTATAAATCCAACCGGGATGTGCGTAATCATACAGTACGGTGCAAGGACAGCTATCATATAATATCAATGGTTCATTAATATGCTTCACTACCGGTTCCGAAAGTTTTCTCATCTCATCTTTTTCGAATAGCGGTGTGAATTGATGTTTGACCGAATCATATAGAAAGAGAGCGTCAGCGTTTACGTTAGGCAGAAGCTGGGAAGCTGCGAAAGCAACATTGTACAAAAAGCCAAATGTTACGATCGATGATGTTGGCAATCTAAAAATGAATTGATTTAGTTTCTTCATTCGTCGCCTTTCTATTTTGTGTTAATGAGAACAAATTTTGGGTTCGGCTTATGTGAGTAGGTAGATTTTAGCTTTCTTGATTGTCTTGGATATCGAAATACCATCGACGGTTGCTGCCAGATTTACCACAACCTAAACCCCCACGTTGTGACTTGTCAAATTTGAAGAAGGGGATATGAAGGCATGATTGAAGTCTTACTGCATTCGGCCTTGTATGTGGAGCATGCTCTCAGGTTGATTTAGAAAACATGGGGAGAGACAAGACTGGAATGTGCCGTAAGGGGTGGAAGTAATGTCGTAAAATCTTCTAGGCCTGGCCTTACCAAGGTACTTGGCCTGCTTGCAAACCATCCATCTTCAATATTCTATTGCACCTTGTAAACGAGACGTCGTTATGCAAAGTATGGTATGTTCAGTGGAAAGACCTTTTTTATTTTTGTTTGCAGCTCCTTGAAAAATTCGTCGACTCATACCAACATCTCATCCAGCCATTAGAAGCAAGAACGGGCCTTGCCTTCCGCTCATCTCGGGTACGGGATGAGGTGAGCAAAAGGAGTCATAGAAATCGCCAGCTCAATCTTCATACCAACATTAATGATACGTTTACACTCAATGCTACAGTGACTATGATATCTCAGGTTACAGCTTTCATGCCTAACGCTGGCAAAGCAAAGGAAGACACGGCCATGGCCCTTGTAATGGTCATGGATGGATGAGGCGAGAACTTTATACTATATCAAAACTTAACAAAATTCATATCTCAAGTAGCGATACGCCAAACACATGGCATTGCCGTTTGGAAGCCTCACATAGACGTCTTCTGTGGCTCGGAAGTATCATATTAGGTAAAAGATCTCGTGTGTCAATGCGGGGACCCGCGATACCATTTACAGTTCAATGTTCAGAATGGTAAATCCGGGGAACCGGATCTTTTCATCGTACAGTCCAATTTTTGCTTCACCACACAAAATAAAATCGGTTTATTACTTTTGCGAGAGCGAGATATTCGGCGTTTCTGATGGAATGACCTCTTCTCTCTCATGTACTGTAATCTAGTTCACTCGTAGATCCCAGATCCTACATCTGAGTAAGATTCGGAGATGTTCTCTCCAACCGGAAGGTTGAAACTTCTAGAAGGCAATTACCGATAGGCTGCCCCTGATACCATGGTAAATCCACGCCGCTGAGCTCCACTGTGGGCGCTTGAAAATTCGATGATCCACATATTTGAACGACATTGGTACTTTCCCCTTTCATTCCCAAACAAATCCAACAAGTTTTCTCAAGTACAGGTATAGAGTATGAGATTGGAATCAACGGAGAGATCACAGTTGCGTAGCTAATAAGTGGTGTGACATTATCTAGCGATTGGCTGTTGATTAGTAATGCGTAGTGACACTGTAAAATCTACAACCAATATACCTTCCCCTGACACTACCTATCCACCGTTCATTCTCCGCTTCCCCAAATTTAGAAATATCACCTAATTCTTGAGAATATGTGCCCCCTTTTATTTACTGCAGATCTATATCGATTTTTGAACCATCCGTCAGCTTCTTCATAAGCTACAACATCAGCTCTACCAACCACTAATGACAATCCTACCTAAGTTGTCATCAATATTATCCCGCGCCACGGAAGCCAACGGTCAGATTGTCGTATTTGCGGACGGGACGGTTTTCATATGCATAGCATCCATCTCCCGACCTCCCGATCAAGCTATCATATCCTCTCAGATCAAATCAAGATAACAGTACAGTGATGAAGGCTGGCGAGAACATCATCGTCGTATATTTCACCCCATAATTACATACAACCCCTCTCCCCCCGCTCAAATTCGCATTCGCCAAACAATAAAGACCCTTGGCGAAATACAACCTCTCGATGTACCACCAACTTAAGTATTGATTGAATTCCCCTTGTCCGCATATCTTTGTATTACACATTTAATACTGTGCATTGTTTTCTCCAACTTTTCTTCAACGTTAGTACTGGCTTTCAATATACCGAACGGTAGTGATATTATCAGCCGTGTTAGATCATTCAGTTGATGATCATCACCAAGAATAGACATTGAAACACAACAGCATTGTATTGTATGTGTATAATTGATGCAATCGATTCCGATCGAGGCAGCGAAGATTTCGTCTTATGTTACAATTAGGCATCTGATAATCGTGGATTATACAAACGATAAGCAAATCACGCATATGGCTCATGTAGTGTGACCCGCACGTGTCAATATCTTTATCTTCCAAGATTAGAGTTTGTGTAGAGAATTGAGGGTAAAAGAGATAACGAATTAAATGTGCTGTTTTGCACACTACTTTTCCGTTATCGGATCTGACTTTCGGCACGATTTCTGTTCCTGGCACCCGTGGTTCCGATTTGGTGATATTTTTGTATCTATTTGTAGCCACAGGAGGTAGAGGCCCATGAATGATACATCCATTTTCACCTGCAACTATCCCAGTGACCTACTCGCATGATGCCTGCAAGAGACATGATAGACGGCCTCAAAGATCTACAGCTATTGTCTAAGACTCTGTTTGATCTCTACCCTAGTATTTCCACCTCAACGTTTCAACTCTCTGCTTATGTAACCAATGCAAGTTCACCACCTCTTCCATCCTCCTCTTGTGACATATTATCCTTCGGAGCTCAAGGTTTAGACTAAGTTTCCTCTTTATCATGCTTCCTCCCACCCAACATACTAGCTCAGAACCTACAATACCATCGCGTCATGCAAATTCTCTACCTCCATTTTAAAACAGCCGCATAGGCGTTTATAATTTCATCAGAAGGCCCTTAATTCCATCCAATTGTCATTCTCGGCATCAAGTGATGCCTCTGTGTCATCTATAATCTCAAATCCAGAGACCTGCTATTTCAATCTATTGTACTACCATTAAGCATTAATACATCCCAACGCAAATGCACGTCTGTCTTTGTGTAGGTCTTTGCTCGACTCGTGGTGAATCATTAAATATTGAATATCAAGAACTAGTGGTTCATTTTTAGGTGTGGGTTGATCTGGATTAAAAGAATCCATCTTTGGGCCAACAAGCTTCAGTCTTCCCTTTCCATCTTCTCGAGTCGTGAGGGAAGTATGGATATTATTTGTTAGTAATAATTTTCACTGCCCGGTTCAGGTCATCAAACTTGTCTTGGGCTTGGATTATAAGACTACGGACTGGAATTTTATAGTTTACTTCCCGGAAATCTTCACTATTTGTGAGATTCAAATATTTTTGTGTTTGATAATGCGATAGATAGTATGCTCATCTGTTTAGAAGAGCTCACTGGGGTTGATATTCACGACATGTTCGAGGGAATTTGACACATGAACATCACAGAGACGACTTCTGAAAGTCTAGAGAGTGCTTATGGTTTGTGAATCAATAAAAAAGGGTTTGCATGATTTGCCCTGAGTGAATGCTGCAATATTCTCCAGTATTCACCCAATTGTTATCTCAAGCATTTTTTTTTCGCAGTGGAGATAACGGCTTCCCTATATATATTTCACCCAGTCCGAACCCAATGTGCTCTCTACTCAATGCACTCAAAGCTATGTGCTATCGATGTATGCTCTGCCCGGGTACCTCTCAAGCCATAATTTAAATTGGAAGGCAGCGCATACATGGTCTCCCAACTACACTTCAAGAGTCGGAGTGCGAACACAAAGATTGTGAAGCGAGAGCCATGATGTTGATTCCCGTGAAAACTTCTTATGTCATCTCATCATTTTTTTGTCTAATTCCTTCCGCTTTTGTTGTCATTAAATGCTGTTACTCTTATCGATGTCACTTCCAGCTTAAATTACCCCGCAAACCATATTCAATGATTTGATATTGGTCGATGTATCCCAGCATACAAGGGGGAAGGCCACAACACGGAGACGCATCAATACCAGGACCATACGTACAAAAGCTCGGTGTATTATAAACAATTTGATTCTCTCAAAGTAGCAGACCGAAGACCTTCTAACCCTCTGCAACTCGCTTCAGATCAGTTGCCTTAATCTGAGTCAATGGTGAATAAAATAGAGAAGTCTTATTGTTACGTGAACACTGCCCCGCTTACCATATATTTACGGCCCACAATACCCATTCGAGATGCAGAGCAGGAGTATAAATCCCAGCATAATCTGGTTTCAAGTCTTTGAAGTTTGCAGAGGAAAGCTAATCCTTGGGGAAGAGATAACGAGGTGGGACTTCTGAGTGTCACCCCTAATTCTACAATGACTTCTTAGGGGATGCATCGAAAGAGGTTTGGTTCATACATCTATCTTCTCTTGTCTTCGTATCGCATCGTCAATTACCATCCGTGTCACTGCCGCTTTTTTTTTTTGTCATCTCAATGATTAAAGTATTTTGTTTCGTCACAGCATTGGTATGGTCATGGCAATGACACCGCTCTCAATCTGATGATATAAATCAGTCGTTTCGACTTTTGTAACCACGAAAGACACGGCCGAACTGAGCTTATCCCTGGGATTTAGGATGCTGCTACCGGTCTCGGGCATCAAAAATAAATATTGCAGTGTCATGAAGAGTACCTCGCATTATACAACAAATAACCGAACAGCAAAGGTGGTTGATGACGCATTGGGGGGCATAAAAGTAACAAACTCTCTCTTTGAGTCAGATCTGATCCAAAGTCTATGACCCTATCAATTTTCAATGTATCAATTTGAGTATTTTACAACTCAAAGGAATGGTAACAGAGGCTTATGAGCAGGTATTGAGGATCATGCTATCTATGAGCAGTCGGGGAACTGATTAAGTCAATTAATACCATCTCATTTTATCTTACTTTTGTTGTCAAATATGTCGATGTCATCTGAAGAAAAATCGAGGCTCGACGGAACCATTCAATCTGTTCTCTTCCATTCCTTTGGTCAAAGGCTTTGGCATTTTTGGCATAATACAATGTTTTTAACTTCCTAGTTCGACGGTCGGCACAAAATTCTTTTCTGTTGGGTTTGTTGGGCGTAATGGCTTCAAATAGTTTGACGGATCTCCAGCTTATATAGCAGGTCATGCAATTTCTTTTTGAGTAGTGGGATAATTGTGATTCAGGGAGTAGTGAATGAAGGAAACCTCCTCCCCAGGACCACGAGAACTACCCCGCTACTCGTTTTCTACTACATGCGGCATAATCCTACCTATTTCGGCATCATCAAACCAGTGCATAAATAGACCTCTAGGTTTTTCAGACATTGTCATACCTAACCAATCAAAGATATGTCCCATCAGGTGTTTGAATTTGCGTGTGCTCCACAGCTCAAACCCACCAAAAGTAGACAAGTAATTTGGAGAAGTGTAGATCCTAGTTGGGATCAAGAAAGACGAGAAAGATTGTTACGGTCTATAAAGTGCTGTCCTATCACCTCCGTTCTCTCAATTTTGAATACTCCCAAATGCCAGAAGTATGATCCACCGAGCGGAAGAAGGATCACGGTTGATTGACCTCAATACCACTTACACTATTGTATAATTGTAGAATGGAGAGCCTAGTCTTTGCAATATTATCCCTTCGGCACCATAATAGCCATCCCCAATTGTCATTTTCTCTACAATGCCGACAATGATAACCATGCACTCCCCCTCCATCCCATCCCATCTCATATTTTGTTGTCACTTTTCTAATTACAAGCCATTTCTCCGTTTCTTCCACTTCAAACATCAAAAGTCCCTCTTGTTATGAGATCTGA